AAAGGGATAGTGGAACTGCACGGGAGGCGCGGGATGAAATCGAAATAAAGTAAAAAAAGGCGCAACTTTAGCGCAGAAATTAAAAATTAATGTTAAATTTAAGTGTTTTTAATTAAAGTCATTAACTGCAGCGCAACGCAACTAGCACTTGCTGGGCGGGGAGGGGAATATTATTTTGTAATGGTTTGGGGAGAGGGGGAGGATTTTTAAGGTCGTTCCCCCATATATTCGAAAAAAATCAAATTAAAAGTGCGTTTTAAGGGGTTGAAGTCGAAAAAGGGAAATTTTCAGTTGCTGAATGCAGATTTGGCTGTGTACGTGAGTTCAATTCAAATAGTTTTTCTTGTGTTTTTAACAAATTTATACTTCCAACATGTAAAATGAACGATATGCATGAGTCAATTCGCTGATTGTGTGCGTGAAGCGCAAAAGAAAAGTTGTTAAGTACCCATGGTTTAATTACAGATTTAATCACAAGAAATTATCATTTATAATTTCTGAAAAAATTCAAAATACATTTAACCCAAAAATAGTTTCAAGTCTGTATAAAACAGATGCATAATTAAGCATCTTATTGAAGTTGAACAAGTATATATGATAATGTTAAGTTTTCTCCTGAAGTTGAATTTATGATTGATCATTCTAATTCCAACATGCATATTGCATAATCTTATTTCATTTTCGATTTTATAGAAGTTCTGTCATCATGTTATGAAATATGATAATCAGTTAGAAATTTGCCAGGTTCAGAATGTTCTCTAGATTTGGAACTGAGATTTTGCCACAAACTCCAATATTCTAATCCCTAAATCTTTGCACCGAGTAGTGTAAACCTTTGATATTTCAAAATTAGATTATTTTACCAAAATAATTCAAAGTTTCAAATTTACGACATTGGGTTGCAAAGCTGGGATTAATATATCAGAGTTTGTGGCAAAAATCTGGAAAAACCATCCGGTGCACATCTAGTTAGAACTTTCATCAGAGCCCGAAATTTAAAAGCGTATCATTGAACGAAACTCCCGAGTTTCAGTTTTTGGGTTTTAACATTTGATTTTGATCTCGGAAAATTGGAGAATGTAAAGAAACTATATAAAACATTAGCATTTCATAACCTGAATGTTGATATCCACAATCCCATTCGTGAAACCCGAGTTTCAAAACTGGTTTACATAACGATACACTGTCTTAAGTTTTGGGCTTCCAGGTAAATTTGTAAAGTTTGAGACTCAAAGAAGTTCGTAATAAGACTTCGATTCTACTGGAGACCACCGGAGGGATTTCATTTTCACTGGAAGTGGAGGGGTTTGAAAAGTCACTCAAAGTTTGAATTCTATGAACTAACAACAGTCAACACGTACAAATACAATACAGTTCGGAACTTTTTTAGATTAAATGTTTATAGTAGCCTTTAGCTGCCTTTAGCCTTAAGAATTCAGAAAGATAAAAATATTTTTTTAACTGACTATAGCATAATTTTTCTTATTTTCTTATTCCTGTGATACTGATATTCACCATTCTTGTTTTCATTCTGCAGGGGGGGGAGGCGCCCCCTCTCAAGTGCTTGGGAAGCGCCCCCCCCCCAGTTGCGCCTCTGAAACAATGATCAAATTGATATTAGGAAATTTTAACCCGGATACAGAGATTTGAAAAAAAATATTAGCAATTAATAACAATAATTAAAATGACAAGAATTGTATAAAAATAATAATGATAATAATAATAATAGAAATAATAATATTTGAAAACAATAATAAGGTTATTTTACACGGCAAATTCGCCACGTGTTTGCGCAATTGTTGGAATTGGCCTCCTTTCTAGACACATAGTAAATGCCGTACTCGGAAAACTGCTTCCAGAACTGTATCAATCCAGGTACAACTTGTCAGCTATCAATATCAACAGGGACACCAGAGAGAAACGGAGTAACAAAGGAGGCAAAAGAGTGGCGGAACTGAAAAAACTCTGGCGGACCTAACTGAGAGGATGAATAAGGTAGCAGGTTCGGGTTTTCTGTAAAGAGTTCCAACAGTGGATAGCTGGAAACTGTAGAAGAGAAGAAACATAGTTCAGTGAATAATAATAATAGATTAATAAACATTTCAAATCTTTTAAATGTCCGACCTTTCGATAAATGCCAAACCAATGGGCACGATTTTGTCAGCTATCAATGTCAACATGGGACACAAGCTCTTAGGCAATCAATACTTAGAAACAACATTTCATGAAGAAAACTTTTTTATATGTCAACTTATTACTAAAAGTTATTCATAAAAAAGCACCAGCCATTCCAAGATTTGTTGAGAAAAAAATCTATTAAACAAAGCTGTTTACTCTCCGAAATTGTAAAAAAATATTATGCAAATGTTAAGGAGACTATAGATTGACTAGCGTTCTTAAATTATCGAATAGTCCCGTTTTAAGTAGAAATTGACGATTATAAATGACAGATCATTCCTGGAAGACTGTTTGGGGGAGGTTCGGAAGTCCTATTGGGACGCGCACCTCCGCAAATAGGTAAAATGAGGTTCGGAAGCTGTGCGGGGAGGTTGCCTTCCCTCCCTCGTTAAACTAAACACAATACGTAGCATAGTCTATTAGCATTATACAAGTTTTGCGTAGTTGAGGATTAGCGTAGTTAGATTTACAGACAATGTTCAACGTAATTCATCTAGGAATGTTCAACAGTATTTATTGCAGACAGTGTGAAAACATTCTTATTAAATCATTTTGTTGTTGTTGTGTTTAATGATGACGGATTTTTAACAATTTTTAACATGTATTGTATATGTTTAATGATGACGGATTTTTAACAATTTTTAACATGTATTGTATGATTTGTAATAGATTTTTACCAAATTCATTTTTTTACGTTGCACAATCAATACGTCATGCATCATAACATAACTCATACCAGCGAATAGAAGTAAAGCATCAAAGCAAACAATACACACAGGAATGTATGAAAGGGGGGCGGCTATTGGAGCATAGTCAAACCAATTGGGGAGTAATAAGCTCCAAATGGAGGCCACCGCCAACCCCCCCCTTGAAAATTTAAAATGTTAAGCCCCCCCCCCGGACAAATTCCTGGAAACGCCCCTGAACACATTGTATCATTATTATTAGCACCTCACAGGTGTTTTCCATAAACACTTGACAATTATTGGAATAACAATAGACAGTTGAGGACAAACCTTTTTATTCACTCGTCTTAAAATTGTAGCCCCCAGCTACTTTTCCTAAAATTCTGATTATTAATTTTTGGTTTTAAACATTTTGGAAGCTAATTATAAGTTTTCTAACTTGTTAGTTACAGAGCCGTTAGTTTGTATAGTTATAGCAGCTAGTTTATATTTATAATGGCTAATTTATAGATATAGCAGTTAGTTTGTAAAGTGCATGGCTTGTAGTATAGTAGCCAGATCTTAGTAACAGTGGTCAGTTTATAGATATAGCAGCTAGTTTATAGTTATAGAAGCTGTTCAGAGCTAAACAGCTAGCTTATATTAATATTGGCCAGTTTACGGCTATTGTAGCTAGTTTATGGCTATAATGGCTATTCTATAGTTAGAGGCTAGTTTACAGTTATTGTGGCTAGTTTATAGTTACTGAGGCTAGATTATAGTTATTGTGGCTAGTTTATAGTTATAGAGGCTAGTATATAGTTATTGAGGCTATTTTATAGTTACAGAGGATAGTTTATAGTTATGGAGGCTAGTTTATAGTTATTGAGGCTATTTTACAGTTATTGTGGCTATTTTATAGTTTTAGAGGCTTTTTTATAGTTATTGAGGCTAGTTTTATAGTTATAGAGGATAGTTTATAGTTATAGAGGCTAGTTTATAGTTATTGTGGCTAGTTTATAGTTACTGAGGCTAGATTATAGTTATAGTGGCTAGTTTATAGTTATAGAGGCTAGTATATAGTTATTGAGGCTATTTTATAGTTACAGAGGATAGTTTATAGTTATGGAGGCTAGTTTATAGTTATTGAGGCTATTTTACAGTTATTGTGGCTATTTTATAGTTTTAGAGGCTTGTTTATAGTTATTGAGGCTAGTTTTATAGTTATAGAGGATAGTTTATAGTTATAGAGGCTAGTTTATAGTTATTGAGGCTAGTTTATAGTTATAGAGGCTATTTTATAGTTATAGAGGCTATTTTATAGTTATAGAGGCTAGTTTTTAGTTTTGGAGGCTAGTTTATAGTTATAAAGGCTATTTTATAATTATAGAGGCTTGTTTTGTAGCTTTAGAGGCTAGTTTATAGTTATGGAGGCTAGTTCATAGTTATAGTTGCTATTTATAGTTATAGAGGCTAGTTTATAGTTATAGAGGCTAGTTTATAGTTATAGAGGCTATTTTATAATTATAGAGGCTAGTTTATAATTATAGAGGCTAGTTTATAGTTATAGAGGCTAGTTTATAGTTATAGAGGCTAGTTTATAGTTATAGAGGCTAGTTTATAATTATAGAGGCTAGTTTTTAGCTTTAGAGGCTAGCTACTAGATATAGCAGTTAGTTTATAGTTATCACACCTGCTTTATAGTTAAAGAAACTAGTTCATAGTTAAATCAGCTAAATTATACAGGGTGTCCGTTTAATCCTGCCAATTTTCATATTTCATATTCACAACTTTGTTATTGTTTGGAATTTTTCCAAATTTGTAAAAAAAAATTTGAGTAATCAAAATTTGAACGTTTTTTGGTAAACAATTTAAATTCACAATTCTCAATACCAAAAAATGCGCAAATTCAGTTATTTCATTTGAGCCATATTCCAATATGGTGTTTTCTAAAGAAACCAAGATTTGGATTGTTCTGACAAAGGATTAACTCAAATTCGCAGGGATTACATTGTTATTGCTGTTCATTTTTAAGGTTTCAAAATTCAATTATAGTAGCTAGACTATAGTTATTGTAATTATTGTAGCTTGTTTATAGTTGTTTTAGCTAGTTTATAGTTACAGTCATTATTGTAGCTTGTGTATAGTTATTTTAGCTAGTTTATAGGTATTTTAGCTAGTTTATAGTTACAGTATATAGTTTATGGTTATGGCAGCTAGTTTATAGTTACAGCAGATATGTTATGATTATAGGAGCTAGTTTATGGTTATGGCAGATAATTTTTGGTTATGGCAGCTGGTTTATGGTTATGGCAGCTAGTTTATGGTTACGGCAGATAGTTTATAGTTATGGCAGCTAGTTTATAGTGATGGCAGCTAGTTACTAGTTACAGCAGCTAGCTTATAGTTATGGCAGCTAGTTTATGGTTATGGCAGCTAGTTTATAGTTTTTGCAGCCAGTTTATGGCTATGGCAGCTAGTTTATAGTTATGGCAGCCAGTTTATGACTATGGCAGCCAATTTATAGTTATGGCAGCTACTTTATAGTTAAAGTAGCTACATAAAGGGTATAAGACTAAACATTGAGAGACAAACTTACAATCCTTTGTGATTTTTGTCAGCTACAGGGCTACCCGCAAAGGATGAGACTTCAAAGACGACTGTCTGAAATTTATTTCGGCTTCTTTCTTATTAATGATTCGTTTAAAGTAATACTTGATGCTTTCCTTTCCTTGGGAAATCATTATTCTAATACTATTCATAATCTAGACTTCAGATTGTCATATTTAAAAAGATAAAGCTAGGTCGTCATTCAATTCTCATACTTTGTGGGTAACCCTGTATCAAATGACAAACTACAGTAAAAAGTTGTTGCACGACGTGATGTTTAAGCATTTAAAACACCCTGATTATGAACCGGACATGTAAACCACATTCTTTTTTTTAGGGACTTGTTATACATGGCTTAAAAATATTGAAAATTATCAAAATGCAAAAATATTTTTGGTATAATTCAAGTAGCAAAAAAATCCAAGAACATTTTTTTTTGTAAAAATAATTTTTTTCTTCAGAATTTAACTAGAAAATGTTATATAAATCTATTTACAAATAAGATAAACAAAAAATCCAAGACAAACGTTGATAAATATAACATAAATAAATGTATTTGCTATTGCTTTCTTCCTGTTATGAATTAGATTTTGAACAACTTGAAATTTTTTGAGAAGAAAGTTTCGTTATTTTGCCATTTTTGTAAATTTTTGTAAGATTTGGAGTAGATTTTTTGTGATACTTCTTTTATGTATTTAGATGTTTAGAAATTTTGGAATATAATAGAATAAACTTGGTCTAATATTTTTCTGAGGAAATAATAATTGTTCAGGAATTTATTTTTCTATGTACTTTTGTAGTCCTCAAAACGTATCTATCCAGGTACAACCCGTCCACTATCAAAGTCAACCAGTACACGATCCTCACGGCTACAATTCCATGAACTATCAACGCCACTACCACTGGGCGCGATCTTGTTAGATATCGGTGTCAATACAGACACTAGTTATTATTATTATTATTAGTTATTACCAAATGCTGAGGCACAATCTCAGCCTGTATGTTTCAACGAGGACGCAATTACTCTGCAATATAATTAAAGCGGAGTTTCTATATTAACTAACTTAAATTTTTTCAGTTTAGATTAGAATTGGGTCTTTAACAGCAAAATTACAAGTTGTGCGCTATGTATAACGTAGTTAAGCAATCGCAATATGGGTATAACGGAGTTGTATAAATCTACTAAATTGACTGGGTTAATCGCAGTACATGATTTATGTATTTACTAATGGGCACATTTAGCTCTATTGACAATATACAACGTAATTTACTATGAGCCTCTATTTTTGCAAATAATACAAATCTTTTTGTATTTGCTTCACTTTGTGTGAAATTTTTTCACCTAAAACATGATCCTAGCAAACATTTTTATAGGATTTTATAAAACTACTTTAATACTGGTCTTTACTTACCCTGCAGTATTTAGGGAGAAATTTTAACTTTGTAGACTAAAAAATATTATCTTTTTAAAAGTGAAATCCAACATTTTTTTTCAGAAATCCCAAGTGAAAAGTTGTAAAAAAAAGTTAACATAAAAGATCAGTTCTTGAGTTGATGGGATTCAAATCCTTCAAGGTTGTCACCTTTGATATAGTATTCGAGCAGGAGGACGGTAATATTTTTTGGGGGGATTTATCACACCTAATATTTCCGATTGTAGGGTGAATAAGTGACTTTATCGCAATACAACAGAGCGAAAAATTAACTTTATCACCCTGCTATTGAAATTTAAAATTTCATACCTAACATTACCAGTAGGAGAGTGAAAAAGTTACTTTATCACCCTACAACAGTTGAGTAAAATTGAATAAAACTATATATGTTGTTGAAATAGGTATTATTCGGGGTTTTGCTGGAATTTTTACTTTTTCTATAGTTTGTTTTGGATCAAAATAATTTCATTTTTATTTTAAACAAAATAGAAAAAATAAAAATCCCGACAACAACTTTTTCGCACTTACTAATTAATACCCATTACAATAACATGAATAGAAATTGTTTTTTTTTTATATTTGTATCAAATAAACGTCAAAACGGCTGACCCAGTCCTACTTTGTGTGCCATGGAACCTTACAGGAAAGGATGTTCAGAAGCACTTTTGAATTTGGGCAATAGACTGCAAAGAAAACATGAAAATCAGTGAAATCTTAAATTCAATCACTGTTTAATTAATTATGAAATTCTTATTTAACGTAATAGAAAGATTTACCACAGTTATAAAACTAAAGACTTGTTGTTTCTGCTGTAATTTCATTATTTCAGAGGAAACCCCATCACAGGAGTTAGCATTTGTTAACAGTTAATTCTGATATGTAGTTCTCATTAAATCTATTTAATTGAAAAGTGTTGTTATCATTATTGAAATTAGGTGGAAAAAATAATCGAAACGGCAAGAGCTATTTTCCACCTAATTGCTTTATACTTGTAGTGTTAATATAATCATCAATTTGTAAACTCGTTCTGTTCACAGATACATGTATTTTAGCAATAAACTTTATCTTATCTTATCTTATCTTACCCTTTATCAAAAAAAGTTGCTTTCTTAAATGTCGTCTTTCTAAGAATTCTCTTTAACCTACAAAAACATAGAAGTAGGGTTTTCAACGCCACTGGAGTTTACTTGAGCGCAATTGCGAGCCCTGTAAACTCCTTACAATTGCGCGTAATTCCGCACAATTCAAAAATAAAATTCTAGAGTAATGATCACAAAATACCCCTATTCTTGGCATTTCCAAAATGAGGTCTGCCTTTTTTGGACTTTCCATATTACCTTAGATATATAGAATTTCATTCTGATTTCGACAGTTTTTTTTACAGTGAAACCCTTTATAACGAATACATCGGAAGAATTTATCAAATGTCGTCTTGACAATTTCTCAATGAGTTTTATACTATATTACGTAAATTTCAGTATTTGCGAAAATAAATAAATAGCCATGAATATGCGGGAACAGTTTTAAAGAGTTCCATATAATCATTTTATTAAAAAACTAAATATCTGCAACATTCCATTATCAGAAAGTGAAGAATACGACATTTGATGAATTCTTTCGATGTATTCGTTATTAAGGGTTCACTGTAGTAAAATTGAAATCTTAACAAAATTGTTAATATTTCCGGTAATATTGACAGCCTAAATTCAGGTTGTATAAGAAGTGACGTCATATTAGGTTTTTATCTACAGGGTGTCCCAAAAAACATGGGAATTCAGTGACGAATTCGATATCGTCTTTTTAACTAATTCTTTGATTTAGTATAGTGATACCTACTGAGAAAGTTGTAATCTGTAAGAGTTTCGTCTGCTATGTTCACATTTTGTTTGTTGATGTTTTGACTGCATACGGTTATACTTAGTAAAACAAGCAAATTGCAGTATACAAACAGAGTAAACTTGTCCGTATTCACTCTTCATCTTACGGAGACATTATAGACACATATTTACAGTCTTTTACCCTTTTCATAAAATAAACTCTAGCAGACATAATAATAGTATGGCTTTGAAATTAGGTATTACAATGCTAATTCATAACAAAGACGATATCGAATTCGTCACTGAATTCCCATGATTTTTGGGACACCCTGTATCTATCTTAGGAGACGACACTTTCCGTACATTGGAGCGCATCGAGAGTAAGCGATTTTATTTAAGAACCTTGGAACAAATACGACTCGACCACAGTTTGGAAAGGCCAGAACTAAGAGAATTTTGTGGTAATTGTTTCAAGAAATATTCATGCGAAAGTAGGTTGACGACTGAATGTCACAAATAAATTCAGAGTTAAGACGGGTTTCATGTTTTGTTGGACACCCTGTATAAGACGGGTTTCATGTTTTGTTGGAAACCCTGTATAAGACGGGTTTCATGTTTTGTTGGACACCCTGTATAAGACGGGTTTCATGTTTTGTTGGACACCCTGTATAAGACGGCTTTCATTTTGTTGGACACCCTGTATAAGACGGGTTTCATGTTTTGTTGGACACCCTGTATAAGACGGCTTTCATGTTTTGTTGGACACCCTGTATGAAATGTGAAAGGATGGTTCACATAGATTCAGCATGCTTATAAACAGTCTCACCAATCTTTAAGACAGGGTTGACTTTGAAGTGTCGCAACGCCCTAAGCTTAGATTTTACCGCTATAACTCACTTATGCTTTTCTGTAGCCCTTTACATGTACATTTTAGCACTGTAAAGCACTTGTGGCTAGATTTGGTTTTTTAGAAGTAATTGGCAAAATTCTCAGCAATTTAAGCTTGAGAGCGTGAGACCATTAAATCGCAGTGGGTTTACAGTCTAGATAATTATTTTGAATGGAAATTGTCACAACATCTTCCTTGAATGTTATTTATGTATTATGTTTCACATGATTTTATTGGAACACCGTGGTACACGCTGCATCATAGTCCCAAGACACGTTGTTTTCTTAAACATCGTCTTCCTAAGAAAACTTATAAAAACATACAAATAAAAGAATACAGCTAGTGAGGCATAAACAAAATAAAAACCGATATTGGGATTTTCAAAATATATTCTATTCTTATTTTAACAATGGAGTCGATGGTTTTAAAAGAAAAAATATATATTTTCAATTTCTTTCATTTCTTTAGTTCTTAGCTTAAAATGAAGGTGGAGTAATAATAATATATTAATAGCACAGAATAAAAAACAGGAAACCAAATACGCTTTTTAGGTCAGTTTTTATTTCTCATGTTTATTGGGACACTATGAACATTCTTACAGATATTTTTACATCTTGGTTATTTCCTTGCAACCGTAAACATGTTTCTTTCTTTGAAAAATCATTTATATACAGTGATAACCAGAAAACTCTGGAATAAGAAGTCGACATTTAAACTCAAGTGATGACTTTTAATAGCGCATAGAACATGAGAGCAATTATGCAATGTAAACCGACCCATTTTACTTAATAAGTAACTTAATAACTTTCAAGTAACGCTATTTGCTTTAAACAACATAAAATGCACTTCAGAAACAATATAATGTCGTCTTCCTATTCCATAGTTTTGAGGTTATTACTGTATTTACTTTTATATTTATACACAGTGGTCGGTGATTATACCAATACAATGAAGACGAATTTTATTTATAATGCTTTGATCCCTTAGTTGAAATATAAATAGAAAGTCGTATTCAATATTACCCTTAGTGTAGACTTATTTATTAAGTGAAGTTTTTTATTATATGTCGGCTTCATACATATATCAATATACTATACTACATTGAGGCCACCAAATATTAGACTTTAGGGTCAAAAATCAAAAATCTTTTGTCTTAGAAATTTCAAAATGAATTTTAAATTTTTACTTTTAGAATCAAAATATTTTAAGACAGTTAAATCATTGAAAATCAGAGACGACTTTTAGTTGGATTTGGATTTACCAAAAATACTATGTTTTTACTTTAATCATATTTAATAAAGCTCTTCGCTCATATATTATATTTATATATTAGCTATTGCTGGCCAAACGGCTGGACCAAATTGGCTGAAATTTTTTAGGGAAACCATGGGTATCCCGGGGGTAACATAGGCTAAAAATCAATTTTTGTTTTTAAAGATGGATTTAAAAAAAAAATTTAAATGCAACGTCGTGCTCTTGAGCACTGAAGATGCAAATAAATAGTAAAAGTCAGATATGACGAAAAAATACTACAAATACTACATTTCTGAAAGTATCCGAACTGGTTAAAAGTTTTCTCTTTTAGGCCACAGCATTATTTTTTTTTATTATTAATGCCGATTATGTTGAAGATCGTCATTTTCTGTAAATCAATCACCTCACATTTTCAAAGCATTCTATGCTAACTCAAGATAGTTCTGCGCAAATTTATCTTTTTTAAAGGTTGCACAAAGGAAGCAAATTTTTTTTATTTACGCAAGCTCTATTTTGGTCTGAAAGCTTTCAAGTTATATGCCATTAAAAACAAACCGCGGAAGAAAGTCTAATTAGAATTAAATCCCTTAGCAACCATGTTATACTGCGCACTTTAGCAACCATGTTAGACTGAACACTCTAGCAACCATGTTATACTGAACACTCTAGCAACCATGTTATACTGAGCACTCTAGCAACCATGTTATACTTAACACACTAGCAACCATGTTATACTGAACACTCTAGCAACCATGTTTTACTGAACACTCTAGCAACCATGTTATACTGAACTCTCCCCGCCTTGTGAAAACATCGGTGAAAACCCCAATTGGGACAATTGTTAGATTTGAATTTGTTGACAGGTTTTAATAATTTTTAAAATAATTTTTTTATTTGATTATTTATTCTCTCATTTCTCATTGGTCAAGAGCTTAATGTTTTTGAACGCTTAAAAATATGTTTCATTTAAAGTAAATTACATAATTTTATTTTATCGGAGTTTGAAATTTTGATCAGCTTCTTCATTTCAAAAGTTTTGAGCTCGAGATTCAGTGGAAAAAATACAAAATTAGTTTACTTGTTAAAAAGTACTGGCTAAGAAAGTTGTTAAAACAACTATAAAATCAAACTTTCCTGGTCACTGCTGTTTAGAATATTTAGGCTTTCTAAAATGCGTTAAAGTATATTTGTTGTACGAATTCTGCACAAATCTTTTTTGAGAATTTCTAAAAAAAATTAAAATCAAAAGTCAAAAATGATTTTTACTTATGATTATGAAACCTTCAATAAAAAAGCAGATTATAATTATTATGAGGAACAAAAGTTTTCAAACATAACACTGCTGTATGTTTCTTCCGCCCCCTCCCTTTCCGAGAATACAAAGTTGCGCCCATTACAACTGTGGTATCCCGGCCTATTGTGACCCTGGTGGAAAGCTGACCTGTGTAGCTGGGCCGGGCAGAATACAATCAGTGGAGTTCTATATCCTCTGTTCAGTAGCTTAGCTTCAACCCAGCAAACTACTCATCAGATATGGCCATCCCAGACGCAGTTAAGAGCAAGGTAGTTAAAACTCTACAATACGAACAACTATACACTGTTGATAACATTTTGTTCAAAACTTTGAAGTTTAGAATATCTCTCACATTTTGGGATCCCTTTGTTAGTAATTTCGAACAGAATGTTCGTAATTTCTTAAAGTTTTCTGTTAGAATTCGTATTTACGAGCGAAATGTTATGGATATTTTTAACAGTGTCGCTAGAGTTCAAGAGTTTCTGATAAAGAACTCTGATAAAAGTCCCAGTCTAGAATAAGAGCAAAAACTTCCAAATGCAAAGGTTTTTGTTTGATATTGAATCCACTAAAAACTCCAATAAAAAAGTTTAAATTCATGTATTTTTAAGGATTTACTGCAGTGAACAACAGTTTAAAAAAGTAACTTATTAAACTGTGTTTTGCTGAAGAATACCAATGCAAATTTTAATCATGAAAATCACCGTAAAAAAAAAACTTTTTATCATCAACTTGAAAATTATTATTAAAATTTTATAGTTTCACATTAAAAACATGTCTTTGAAAAAAAAAAGAAAATGACAAGAATAAAAATAAGATGTTGTTTTTAAATTTCATAAACATCTAAATCTTTTTTAAGTGGAGGTGGGAGGAGAAGGGGGGGGGGCGCAGTGGGTTGGTGATACCGGCAACAGATATGATTAAAACTCAAATAGAAATTGATCAAACTAGAGAGAATAGGGAGGTATTGTTGGTTAAACTTGAAAATAGTTTATATTTGATTAGTTAATAGTTCGTATACTTCCAACACCCCCACCACCAGCAGGACCTTTCTTCCTTTCCTCATTCTTCTTCTTATACTTTCCCTTTATTTTCCCTCCATAGCCTTTAAATTTTCCATTATTTTTTCTCCTTCTTTTGATATTTTCCCTTAATTTCTTCTCCTCATTCTTACAATTTCTCTTAATTTTCCCTCCTCCCTTATCCCTTCTCCACCCTTCCCCTTTTCTTTATACTTTCCCCTATACCCTCTAAATTTTCCCTTTTCCATAGATTGAATCTATTTTCCTAAATATCTTCTTAATTCTAAATATTTCTTATTTAAGGTTGGGGACATGCCCAATGTAGGAGAGATGGACAAGGATGCCTTGGCTGCCCTCATCAAGCAGCTATACGACCAGTCCTGCTCCGTCTTTGCCGAGAAGTTCAACATGGAGCATGAGATCAAGAAGAACGAGATGGAGATCCATGCCCTTGAACTGGAGGTCAACGACATGCACGGCAAGTTCATCATTCCTCAGTTGAAGAAGGTCAACAACTTCAAGCTGATGGGTGGAGAAGAGGCCTAAACTGAGTAAAAACTGGAAATAACTTGTTTTATATCCAGCTCACATACTGAATATGAAATGGACATAGCCGGAATTGAACCAGTGGAACATGCTGGCAATTACTGGTTTTGGAACTGGTTGTTCAAACTGGACATCAAGGATAAACAACCAGTTTTAAAACTGGTTTCACGAACTGGATACAGACTTGAAAAAACCGGTTTGAGTCAGGTTGGCTATGGCTCTCTGTTACTCTAATTCCAACCTTCTTCTATCCACCACTGTAAAGCTTCTTCAAACAATTCTCTTGCATTCCTAGAACTCCATTTTGAATTCTAATTGTGAAACCAAAACAAACTAACTTTCCCCGTAAACAAGAGAACATCTCAATACATGAATGGGCTCACTGCTATATAGATATGTATGTAAAAAAGTGTATTTTATTGTAGAATAAACAATTTATCAAATTTGTCTAAAATTAAACACGTTTGTTGAAACATATATCAAACTTTTTCACTTTGTAACATACAAATAGTTATGGACCGGTCCTTCTTCTTTAATGACAACTTACAAGCCTTGTTTTTTAATTATTTTTGCTTAAAGCAAAATTAATTAAGAACATAGCTGTCCTATTTTGTGACAAACTAATATTTATCACTCTCCTTAGTTCTACATTTATTGGTTTCCAGGGAAAGAAAACTTTCGCGAAATATTGGGAAATTACGCTATTATTTTCTATCGTAAATCTCGCAATTTTTTTCGCGAAAGGAATTGAGTCTTTCTAATCCCTCATCTTTGAACCCCAATGTCGTAAACCTTTGATATTTCAAACTTATATTATATGATCTAATAGAAGTCATGTTTTGAAATGTCAAAGGTCTACAACATTAGGTTGCAAAGATATAGGGAAGAGAAAATCAGAGTTAGGGACAAAGACTCAATTTCTTTCCCAAGCGAAAACAATGCGGAATTTCGTTAGAAAAAAAATAAACGAAATTTTTTTTTTCGTGCAATAGATTCATGCGAAATTTCTAGAAAAAAACTATTTTTTTTCTTTTTTCGCTACGAAAGGAATGCGAAAAAATTTCGACACAACAAAAATGTGCGTTAAAATGTAAATGTTTGTATCGAGGTCGAAAATTTTGTTTAAGATCGAGCCTAAACTTAATATCCATAGTGATAACTTTAAAGGGATTTAGTGTTTAATCCGTGAAAACAAGATGATTCATATTTAAGAGATATTTAGAAAGAAACTTGTTTAACTCGTCAGAATAAATGAGAAAAGGATTTGTTTTCTCTGAATGAGTTTTGAATACAAAAGTTCCTACCTCTGGTCTCTGATGAGATTAACACACTGTTCAAGATAATTGTAAAAAAAAGATTCCCTAAAAGGTTATTGTGTATCTACCCTTCCTTTTACCATCACCTTTCATTCAGTAACTATTTCTATGGAAGGAGGGGGCAGGACAGGGGGAGAGATATCTTTTTAGTTAGATCCAAGTAACATTCAGATTCTATAATTTTATGTTGTTATCCTGGTTGGAAAATGATAGTTGGTTCACCATAATTTAACATGTTGGGCTCATCAAAGTTTTTAATAAGTTGACAGCTCCTCTAAGTTATGCGTGTACAAGTCTCAAATGAGAACTTTGTTTCCGATCTACAAGTTTACAACAAATACAAAATATATTCTTCATTATAAAGTTGGACAACTGTAATTTTGGTTTAGTGCGCGGCTGGGGGTTTATTTGGGGAGACTTATTCAAGGGAGAAGATATGATTGACGTTAGTATATCTTCTATATATATAAAATTGTAATCCCCTTGTTTGTTTGTTTTTATGTCTGATAATACTCATAAACCCAGCTGGATCTATTTGCCTCACATTTAGATTGAGAACTCGGGAGAACCACGGAATTGTTCTTACCTAGAGATCAAGTGCGGGTAAACGGCGGGAGTAACTTTAGAAACCCTAGGCAAAGCTGGGTTCCCAAGCTAGTACCTATATATAAAGTAGTAGTTTCTGTTTGTTTCTTTGCATGTCTCATCATAATTTGGTTAGATATAATAGTAAAATATAAACAAAAAAGGTTTTCACGATCAGGTTGCAAATAATAAGGGAGTATAAAAGGTTTACACGATCAGGTTGCAAATAATAAGGGAGTATAAAAGGTTTACACGATCAGGTTGCAAATATAAAGGGAGTATAAAAGGTTTACACGATCAGGTTGCAAATATATAAAGGGAGTATAAAAGGTTTACACGATCAGGTTGCAAATATAAAGGGAGTATAAAAGGTTTACATGTTCAGGTTGCAAATACAGTTTACACGATCAGGTTACAAATATAAAAGGGAGTATAAAAGGTTTACACGATCAGGTTACAAATATAAGGGGAGTATAAAAGGTTTACACGATCAGGTTACAAATATAAAGGGAGTATAAAACTTGAGTTTGTGAAAAGAACCTTTCATTAGTTCTTCTTACTGTTTCCTATAATTCTTTTTTTTTGTATTTCACCCTTCCTTTCTTTTTTGCTTATTTGTGTTCCTCATTTCCACAATATTTTTCCCATCTGCGACCCCTCCTCCCTCCCTCCTCTCTTCACCCTCATGCAACCTATATTTGCCTCTGCACCAAACCAATACTGCTGAGTCACAAGAGGTGGAGCAACAAAAAAATCTTAATTTGAAAAAAAAAAAATATATTTATCCCTATTCCAATTCCAGCTCTTAGAGAGCCTTTACCTTGTATGTATTCGTTGCAATAAAAATACAAAGCAATTTAAGAATCATAACTGCTTTTTTACTGCTTTAAGATATTTCAACTTTCACTGGAGAAAGAAAAAAATAAAACTTTTGTGCTGTTAAAAGGACTGTATAGACGTTATATCAAGTAACCCTTCAATAAAAAAATAATGGAGTGGCATTTCCGATTCACATCGATACACTTTTGACCTTTCACTGATCAGGGATAAGTGAGATATTCTTATTTTCCAATAGTAAAATATGTAAAAGGTTTTTTTGTGATGGAAATTGTGAGAATTTAAGAAAATTACGATATCTTTCTCATTTGTTACTCGAACAAAGGTTTAAAGGTTCACTGTCCCATTAACGAGGAAATCCAACAATACCGAATTATGTTCACTGTCCCTTTAACGAGGAAATCCAACATTATCGTATAGAATTATGTTCACTGTCCCTTTAACGAGGAAAATATGTACAATGGGTGTTCTCTTGACTCTCAAAAAGTCAACAATACAATTAGTTTTCTTCTGCCGAAATATAATTGAAACATTCTTGGGACAGAAAAAAATGTTTAAAATGTTTAGATTAATTCTGTTTTTCCATATCTTATTCGTTTAAATACAGAGAACTTTTTTTAATATAATTCATGTCACTTACCTTTATCATCCAAATATGTTTTTTAGAGAATTTTCGGTTGTTTTTTCTTTTTTAACATAAAACATTAATCCGATTTGGTTATATTTTTATTAATCGTCAAGGAATAATTTTTATTTCTTAATTATCATCCAAACAATATTTTTGACTGATTACAAATGAATATCAAATATAGGAAAAAAGAAGAAAATGCGCAATTGCATTTATTTTTTTTAAAGTGAATGTTCATGAATTAGATTTTCCTCCTTTAGAAATCATTTAGAATAATTTTCATATCATTGATTATAATAATAGGAGAAGGAAAGAAAATATAAAATTATTTAAATGTTATCAAGAGTTTAACAACGTAAACATTTATGATTCTCACCAGTCCAATTGTTGCATAATCCAAGCCAAGTAATTGCTGGTGGGTCTTGTGTGATCATAATGTAATAATTTATGTAGTTACTTCAATACTCGGATAGGCCTAGCTTAACGTTCCCAATGGGTAATGGATCCAGTACGTTTATGTACAAACTAAAGGATAGTTGGATTGGTGTGAGTTAACATTGGTTTAATTTGTAGTTATTAATAATTGTTTTATATCGGCGCTGCAACCTGCTTTCTTCAAGCTTACGGGCTTTCCATGCGCGCACTGCACTTGAACTGCTGGTTGAAGTTGACCCTGAACCCTCTTTGTGCGGGGATGAGCATTCTTTCATGATTTCCTAGAAAATAATATTTTTCAGAGAAATATTTGATTAAAAATCCTCTCTTAAAGGAAATTAAAATTTCATTCTGAACTTTCTTAAAATCGAACCATTTTTATTTTAAGTAAGAAACCAAGAAAACAAAATGATCAATGATTTTCCAATTTCTTTGAATTTATTTGGAGGAATGGGCGCAGTTTCTATTTGGAGGAATGGGCGCAGTTTCTATTTGGAGGAATGGGCGCAGTTTCTATTTGGAGGAATGGGCGCAGTTTCTATTTGGAGGAATGGGCGCAGTTTCTAAAGATTATTTGGAGGAATGGGCGCAGTTGCAAAAGATTATTGACTGTAAAGAATCAAATTTTTTAAAATAACGTTAAAATATATTTAAACTAAGTCTTTACTCTCATTGTACAGTGAGAACCAGAAACTCTGGAATAGGAAGACGACTTTTAGACTCAATTTATGGTTTTAAATAGCCCAATGAACATTAGTAAGACAGCAATTGTGCACACACCATTTTAAACTACCGGTTAAACTATACGCACCCCTGACCCTTTAGTAAAAGTAAATTTAACCTAAAGTCTGACCGCGTCAACCTTTTTGCACCGGCTAGTCCTTTTGAGTGTCTGCTTTGTTTACCCAATGTCCGAGCGATACAGTACAAATTGGGACCGGAAAGGTTGACCCGGCTCGGAAATTCAATGTACTACACCTGCTCGTGACTATTAACTTTGTAACAACATTGCTTAAAAGGCGTACTTCTATTTACTTTGTAATAACATTGCTTAAAAGGCGTACTTCTATTTACTTTGTAACAACATTGCTTAAAAGGTGTATTTCTATTTACTTTGTAACAACATTGCTTAAAAGGCTTATTTCAATTCACTTTGTAACTACATTGCTGAAAAGGCGCATTTCTATTTACTTTGTAACAACATTGCTTTAAAGGTGTATTTCTATTCCAAAGTTTTCTAGTTCTTATTGTATTAAATAAATCTATGATTTCTAACCTTCAGTTCACTTATCTCAATTTTCCTTCTTTCATTTCTTCCATCCCGTCCCTTCTCTTCTCTTCTCTTCTCTTTTTCTTTCTCCTCCTTCTCCACTCTTCTTGGAGTACTTATAAAACTATCTTGACCTGACTTGACCTGACCTGACCCAAACTTCTGCGTATGCACTTCAGCACACGGAGAAATATCACTTTGTGTCAGACTGTGAAAACTAAACTGTTTTTCAGACCGTTTTATAGGAGAGAGTCTTGTAGAACGAGTTCTAGAGTGCCCCTGAGAATCTTTAAACCCTGATATATGTTCTTTTCGGGTTTCTGACGTATACGAGTTGGAGCTTTGATAAGTAGACTGGGTATTGTTGACGTTTCCTTTGACGTCTGAGGTGGGTTCGTTGATATATATATATGACCTTGCATTTCCCTTGTTATTCTTTGCACCCTGAGACATAGTGCTCCCTCCATCAAACCTTAATTTGAAACTCTCATTTTTTTAAAAGAAATTTTAATCAAATTGAATAGAAATTTTTGTTTCTTTTTTGTTTATATAATTTTTTATGCAGAAGAAAAAAACGTTATAGAATATGATAAATGATATGAAAATTATATCAGATTTGATGAAAGTTATATCAGATTTGATGAAAATTATATCAGATTTGATGAAAGTTATATCAGAATTCATGAAAATTATATTAGACTTCGTGAAAATTATATCAGATTTCATGAAAACTATATCAGATTTTATGAAAATTATATCAGATTTTATGAAAATTATATCAGATTTGATAAAAATTATATCAGAATTCATAAAAATTAAATCAGATTTCATAAAAATTATTTCAGAATTCATGAAAATTATATCAGATTTCATGAAAAACTGTATTTGATTTTATAAAAATTAAATATTTCATTAAAATTTTATTCCATTTTACAAGAAATAATATCCCATGTATTTTCCTGTAATTCGAAAATCTTCTGGGATATTATTTCTCATATTTGTCCTGGGACATTATTAGAAATAATGTCCAATGGGACACGCAAATTTTGCGGATCTAAGATTTTTTTTTTCGCGTTTTTTCGGCTTAAACAGGAATAAAATTATATAAAAAACTGGCTTGTGTATAATTTGGTATATTATATTTTTTCCGGAATTTTTACTTAATTTACTTAGTTTGAGGTTAAAATTCAAGCCTTCAAATCCCGAACGCAAAGAGCTTTGTAATATAAAGAGTAGGCATTATTTATCGTAGAATATTGTGTACACAGATATTTTACAATTCTCCTAAGTTAAACAATACAGACGTCAGAATTCTCAGAGACAGAAAAATGCAAAAATCTTTCTTTCCTTTTCCCCCAGAATACGGTTTGTTCTGCAAAAAAATAAAATTGTAATTTTCTTCATAAATATAATTATTGATTGTATTTTTCACCTGTGCCCTGGAATACAGCTGTATTGGACTAATTTCATATTCAAACATCAGCTCTTCCCTGAAATATAGAAGCATATGGAGATCCAACAGAAGTAAAAACAATTAACGACGTTATTATTGTTTTGATTTTTAAAAGAGAATAAAAAAGTTGCATAACTTTATAGCTGTTTTAAGTGTAGTCTAGACACAAAATCTAAATCTCAGATCCCAAAATCTTTATAAGTTTATTTTGAAGACCTTTTATATTTTTAACTATGAGTTTTTTCTGGATCAAACAATGTTTGAAATATTCATAGTTAACAGCACCAGGTTGCAAAGATATGGTACATGTACCTATTAATCAAAATACATTCATCTAATAATACCTGATTTTCTGAGCCTTATATCTTGCATTTATCGATCTTTTAAAGATATCATCATCATCTTTATCCTCATCATCATCATTATCATCACCATCATGATTATCATTATCTTGAACAAATCTCTGTTTCTCTGGTATTTTATGTTTTTCTTGAAACAAAAAACTTCCAAACCCTGTAAAACAATTTGATACAGTAGGAGCCATAAAATTATGGAATAGGATGACGACATTCAAGCAATCTTATATGTTTTATTCTATTAAACAGAAGATAAGCAACTAAATTTCTATTTTTCATGCTCACTAGTCATTGGAAAATATGGCAATACTTTAAATGTTAAAACATAGTTTAAATTTTTGTTAAAACTTTGCTCTTATCATGTCTCTGCTCTTAAAAATATTCCAAAAAAATGCTATATAGAAAAAATTTTGATTATCTATTCCAGAAAATTCTAATTTGATGCTTAAATATTTTCTAATCTAAAGATTTAACTGTACATTAAAATATATTTACAATAAAAAAATAAAACAAGAAAATGGGAAAATTATTTTCACTGTTTCTTTATTTTCCCCTTTTACTCAATTTCAAAATATTCCCTATACAGTAAAATATGTACAAACCCCTTTAATATAATCACATTGATAATTTAGCAAAAATAACACAAATTTTTATTTAAATCATAAAATATGGATTAAGTTTTATTTATATTTAGAAAAAATAGATTAATAATATCATTGATAAAAGTAGTGGTGTAAGAAAAAACTGATTAAATTATAATGATGATAAATAAAAAAACTTAATGTTTGTTTTTGTTTTTCATCAAAAGTTTCAGCTAATTTCCTCGTCACAAAATAATTAGTTGTGTAAGTGGTGACCAAAGATAGAGAGTTACAAATAAGTAATAATCATCTATCTATCTATCTATCTATCTATCTATCTATCTACCTGTTGGTGTGGTTTGTTCACTATCAAATCTATTATCTATCGCTGAATCCTTAGATTCAGTTTCTGAACGAAGTCTATTCCCGTCTTCAATGTTTTGCTGAAAACAATTTTATTTTATTTTAAATTGTTGTAATGATTCAGATATTAGATATCAGTAAAATATACAAGAACCACCATTTTTGCAGTATGTCAGTACACACTGTAAAGCACAGTAGTTCAGTAAACACTGTACAGTACAACGTAGTTCAGTAAACACTGTACAGTACAGCGTAGTTCAGTAAACACTGTACAGTACAGCCTAGTTCAGTTAAGACTGTACAGTACAGAGTAGTTTAGTAAACACTGTACAGTTCAGTTCAGTGCAGCACACACTGTACACTACTGTACAGTACTTACTGTGCAGTAAATTTCAGTGCAGTGGACACTGTACCCTACTGTACAGTACAATCTGTACACTACCTTCAATACAATGCACATTGCACAGTACAATATTCACTGAACAGAAAGTACACAATGAAAATAGTACAGTACAACCCGAACATTACAGTACACAACGAGTACAATGCACACTGTACAATCATGTGCAGACTATAAGTACATATGAAAATATTTTTGTTAAACCTGATTATCTAAACTGGTTTCATTCACTAAACATTCTAAAAAATATCCGCCATAAACTTCGCAGTACTTTTGCTTACATCATAGCTAAAGGAATGTTTAAGAATGCGCTCTAAAGCTGCAAAATCTATGCAAAAGAATGCTAAAAAAGCGTGCAGAATTCTCACGCTTGGCGAAAACGAAAGTATTCAATTACACTGTTTAACTTTCCTCTGCTGGAAAGCATGGAAAATATATCAGAATTTAGATTTATTTTTATTGACGATATTTTCCTAGAAACGATCTACTTTGCACATTCTGCTCGAGATAGTCCAGAGATGCAGCCATAGAGGGTATAGTGGAACCTAAAGAATATATTTTGTTATTCTAGTTCTAGTTCTAGTTCTAGTTCTAGTTCTACTTTAATTTATATTTCGAGTTTTTTTAGTCTTAGGGGACAATCTACGTAATATCAATTGAATATCTCGATTCACACCGGTACCCTTTTAACCTTGGCAAGAGGAAATATACTTGCTTTTCTATCTTAAAATTGATAATTTTCAATGTTGGTTTGCAGATTTAACACATATTTCTCAATATTGTTCAGATAAAGGTTTCAATTGTACTCTTGTATATCAGAGATGTACAAAGGGTCATTTTAAAATTATGACAAAGCTTTAAAGTGTTAAAAAATACCTATTGAAGAAATAGAAGAGGTTGAATCGTAAGCTGAAGAATAAGAATCAGATCCTTGCTCTTCATCCTGACACAAAATATTCTGTTTTACAAAATTATTAATAAAATGTGAGATTGAGTTGTCAAGAAACATTTTAACCCAGGATTTCGGAACCATCGAAAGAATTTATAAAAGTCGTCTTGGCAATTTTTCAATGGGCTTAATACTATTATTCCAAAATCTCAGTAATTGTAAAAATGAATGAATATCAATAAAATATGAGGACACAGGTTTAAAGAGCTTAATATAATTATCTAATTAAAAACTAAACATCTGAAACATTCCATTATCAGTAGGTTTAGAAAACTATGAAATATTCTAAAATGCCTGAAAATGTTTATAAACTGGATAAAAGCTGACTGTCGAAAAAAAAATGTTTGATTTTTTTTGACGCATCCCCTTCACGCTCTACAATCTACATATGTTAGGTGATTCTCAGAAAGGAAGTTCTAAAAATCCAAATTACTTAACTTGGTCTCCCAAGGTTAAATATTGCTTGACTGCACAAAACGGATGAACAGCGAAACCATTAAAACTGTGAAATAAGACTCAAGTCACGGGTTTAAGTGGGCAAATGCACTTGAAACACAACACGTGTGCAGTTTACACAGACCTACATTTATTAAGTTGATTTTATGCTACGATCGTGAAGGTTTTTGCGTATCAACATAAAGCTGACATCTTGAATGTCGTCTTCCTGTTCCAGAGTTTCATGAGTTTTATTGTATTTTGTATTTTACCTTTAAACTGGATTCGTATTCCATTTTATATTCGCCTTCTCTTTCCCTAAAATTAACAAATATCAACCAATTTTTTAATTGAATATTTGTAGAAGGCTGCACCAGTGCACACTGCACAATGGACATGAAAACTATCATCTCTATGGAAAACTATCATCTCTATGGAAAACTACCATCTCTATGGAAAAAAAGAGTTACAAAATATTGCATTCTAGAAATCTAGGGGTTCTCTGGCTGCGTTAGCCTCATTTTCATTGCACGGATGTTCATGAATATATATATATATATATATATATACATGAACGAAGAGCTTTATTATATAGATAGATTTAGCAGCCTTAGGAATTATATTTGGATAAAGACAGTTAATTAATATTGTACATTCAATTTTTAATCTAATTTTAAATCTAAAAAGGAATTAAGGAAAATTCATGCTTTAGAAATAATAATAATTTGATTGTATTTTACCTAAAATCAAGAGAGATAGATTTCTGTTTGATCAAAACTTTTTCCTGGATCCGGGTAGGGCTGGATAAAGGAGGGTTTTCCTGGTTCCAGCTCTGGGTAAAGCTGGAACCAGGAACCAAGCAGGACTCATGAGAGGAGTGCCGGGTTCTGCAGGATACTCATGGGTTAACAAAATACTATAAAGACTAAAGACAAAGATCGGTCGTAGATGGTTTTCATTCCTCCCAAAAACGGCAGTACAGTTTTTATGTAAACAAATATATTGGAGTCCTTTCAATTTTTTGTTTTGTTTTAAGTCTAATGATGACTAGAGAGTGGATAATAACTTTCTGCAAGGTAGCTGGGAAAATAACTTAATACCACGTAAAACTAAAACAATTAAAAAATTGTCACGTTTGATGACAGATTAAAGGAAGTAAATAATTTCCAGAACTAAACACTTTTTGAGTCGGAAAAAAGACGGTACATATTTCATTTTTTTGATCTGATGAAGGTTTAAAGGGTACAGTTCTGAATCGTGGAAATCCTTTTTGAAATGAAAGGTCGAATGAAATTACGCTAACAGTCCCATTAAGACTAAAAGTAAGTTCTGACTGTAGGATAAAAACCCATTATTCCTAATTGAAGTTAGAGATAGATTTCCGCAGCCATGGTTCAAATCCCCCACAGTTCTATGATAAACGGTGTTAGGTATTTTGCCAAAGGCATTTTCTCAAGAGGACTTCACAAGTTACAACTTCCCAACTCTGCAATTTCCCAACCGGCAACTTCCCAAAGATTAGGATAGGCCTTCTAGGGTGCCACATGCTGCAATGAGGGCCGAGTGCTGCGGCTAGGATGGGCTAGGGGGCCAAGCGATATACAAATTTGGGAAGTTGCCGCTTGGGAAATTGCACAGATGGGAAGTTGCCACTTGAGAAAATTCCCTTGGGAAGTTGCCACTTTGGAAAAAGCCTTTGTTAAAGTACCCAACATCGGGTTTAACGTATATAATGTTCTAGTGGTTGGCATATAAGATAAGATAAGATAAGATAACGTTTATTGCTAAAATAAATGTATCTGTATACAGATAGAGTTTACAATCACAAAATTGATGATTATATTAACAGTACAAGTATAAAGCAATTAGGTGGAAAATAGCTCTTGGCTGTTTTGATTATTTTTTCCACCTAATATATTATATATTAATAAATGTTGACAAAACTCTAGTGAATTTTGTTTTCTAACTCTCAGATAGAAATCTTACCTTGATTTTGTGATAGTTTTTTTTTGGAAGGGTTTGATGTATGGACTTTCTTCATGTACAATGGGTTCCACAATTAGACTGGGTTCCACAATTACACTTTGTTCCACAAGTACACTAGGTTCCACAAGTACACTAGGTTCCACAAGTACACTAGGTTCCACAAGTGCACTTTGTTCCACAACCTCACTTGGTTCCACAAGTAGACTTTCTTCCACAAGTACACTTTCTTCCACAAGAAAACTTTCTTCCACAAGTACACTTTGTTCCACAAGCTCACTTGGTCTCAAAAGTACACTTTGTTCCTCAATTACAGTAGGTTTCACAAGTACACTAGGTTCCACAAGTACACTAGGTTCTACAAGTACACTAGGTTCCACAAGTACACTAGGTTCCACAAGTACAGTAGGTTCCACAAGTACACTAGGTTCCGCTTGTAAACTAGGTTCCACTTGTACACTAGGTTTCACAAGTAGACTTTGTTCCACAAGTTCACTTGGTTCTAAAAGTTCACTAGGTTCCAAAATTACGCTTGGTTCCAAAAGCACACTAGGATCCAAAGGTTCTAACTCACAGCCCTAAAAACATTTACTGGTAGGCAAATATATCAATACATTAAACGACGGCTTTCTATCACGTCTTTGTTATTAATTAAGCTTCTATCTGATTTAGACACCCCAAAATATTTATATTTTTGTTTATTAACCCCAAATTTTTAATTTATGCAAAATTAAAGATTAAAAAAATGCACCTTAACGTTTTTTACTTGTTTTAATGGAGAAAATTTAATTTAATTTTATGGGGGATGGGAAGGAGGGGGTAGAGGAAAAATAAGGTTTGTGGTTAGAACGATATGATAGTGATTGAAAGTATTAAACTTCAAGCAGTTTCATGTATTCAAGATTTCTTATTAAACCTTTTAAAACTTAAATTTTCAAAGAATTTCAACAATATTATCTAATTTAAAAATAGAATATAAAGATTACACAAAAATACATGATAACTGTAAAAATTTGAATTAGTTTCTTAGGATCAGTTAATCCGCAGCCTGACTTCTGACTGTTGCGGATCATTTAATCCGCAGCCTGGCTCCGGATCATTTAATCCGCAGCCTGACTTCTGCTAACATTTAACCTTTTCCAAAATTTTCCGTAAAGTAGTCCTATACCCCACAATTAGTAAACCTTAGAAAATAATATTTTCAAAATACATTTCAGAAAAAAAATTAAAAATATTTACCTCCAGAATTCGAATTCTGGTGTCAGGTATAGATTTCTCATCATCCTCGGAAATATCACTAAAACAATTTTTGACTTTGGTAAAATTTTGAAAATCCACGAAAAAATTGTAAATCAACTAATTTTTTGTTTGTTTTATTGAAGAAAAAATGCGGAAATATTGAGCAACTATTAAAAGTTAAAATAGAAGATGGGCGCGAAGCGCCCTGATAGCCTAGTATCTTAAAAAATATTTATGCCATAAACTGTTAAATGGAAACATGCAATTTTGTAAAGAAATAAGTATTTGATACAATTGCCTGATTAGAGAAGATGTGGTTGAGTCCGTTCTAAATTCATCTGTTAACCCTGTCCCCCTGGGCAAACATGGTTCATCTGTTAACCCTGTCCCCATGGGAAAACATGGTTCCATGTTCCCCCCAGGCTGAAGTGAAAACCCATCTTTTGCCAGATCAACGGGGACTGATTCTCTGGGTTCAACTAAATATTTATAATATTAATTCACTAAGGGGGAGCTAGGACGTGTGTTATTAGAATTATTATTGTTATTATTATTATTATCATTATTTTTAGAAATGAAAAAAAAAAAAGCTAAAAATAACGTTCTTGCAACAAAATCTTTTTTTTAACCCTATATTTTCGCCACCTGATGTTCATGACAATATTTGACATTATAAATTCTGGTAGTTTTGAATATCAATGGTTTACAACATGAGGTTTTGACTAAGATACAAGGATTAGAAAATTTGAGTTTATGGCAAGAGCTATTGTATAATCTTTTACCAGATGGATTTGTCTGGTAGGAGGGTGGTCGTTGTCTGGCACTTTGAATTCTTATTCTCTGATCATGTCTAGACCTAGAACACGCCAAACTAAATATAGCTCGGTATGTCTTGACCTATAGCACGCTACACTGAATAAAGCTTGGAATGTCCATATATAAATCTAACACGCAAAAAATTAGAGCTAAGCATGTCTGGATTGCTGATACATCAGAAACAATAATTAAGCAAATATTATTACTTGCAAAAGAAAACAAATTACCATTTAAAGGGACTGTTAAGGCAAAATGAAAGGAGGTATAGGCTGAAAGCTAATCACTTTAGCTCTCGATCGTGACCCATGAAAGTTATTTCTGATGTTCCAATCTTGAGAAATTGATTTACAACTTTGTCAAATTTATACGAAAATTAATATATTGTGGAAGACGATGCCTGGCCGCGTTAAACAAGTTCCACAAGATTCAACAGAACGAGATTGAACGGATACGGGGCAAGGTACTGATAAAACATCTACACGTGTGATATCGATATTGACTCTAGTTCTGAACCCTCTAGTAATAAGTTATAAGAAATATATATACTGGAAGTTATTTATGCGTTTTTATTAGAGTCTGACTCACGTCCTAATATATACAATTTTGTATAAAAGTAGTGGGTTTAAAAAGATCAAATTCAGCAAATATGCAACCAATCTGAAAACGATGATATCCCAGGGAAAGCTAATTGTAACTTAAGTTTACTCCAATTCTAATTTTATATTTGTTTTTCTATTTTTCATAGATTTAATTCATAATATTATTTTTACGTTTATATTGGGGTCACGATCAAGAGCTAAAGTGATTAGCTTTTAGCCTATACCCCCTTTCATTTTTCCTGTAAAGTCCCTTTAAGCCATAGTTACTATACCGCCCGCCCCCCTCCTCCCCGCGGCCCCGTAGATGTAGCCTTAGTAACACAGGAGGATATGATGTGATCTTTCTGTGAAACATTTTTTTTATATAATCTTATTTATTGCAGGAAGTGTCTTGGTACAAAGCACAGTGTAAACCAAGATGTGAACGCTCTCACGTAAATTTCAAGCAATATTTTGCCAATTACTCCTTTCAAACTTTAAATTTGTCTGGCTCACCTTGTATCAATTTCTGAGTCTGAATCTGACTCAAGTCCAGGATCAAAGTCTTCTATTACAATGAGCTGATCATTCAGTTGAGCCGAGAAGTTTCTCAGAAACTCCTGATAAACAATCACATAAATAAAAAATTATGAAGTAAAGTAAGGACAGTTTGTAAACAAGTAAACAATTTAATATAGTCATATAAAAAGAAGGAGGGGGGGGGGAGTTTACCCTAAATTGGGTTTTTAAAACATTTTCCACTTTTTATCTTATTCTGATTTAAATTCTCCACACTGTTATAAAAAAGGCGACATTTTGTTCGTTTTGGTATCGAGCTACCCAACGAAAGCATTTAAAAAAACGAAAATTTTGTTCGACATTTTTTACTTTATATCACTAAAGTTATCTTCGTAATTTTGAAAAAAATGTTTCTTGTTTCGGTAAGTTTATTTACCTGAGTAGATTTGACGGATAGATTATTGTTGGTAGAATCCGAGGTGTCAGATAAATCCGAGTCTACAGAACCCCGGGGGTTCTAGGAAGGTCTTAGGTAATCTCTCAGAGGCATTTTCCCATGGGCAACTTCCCAAATGACAATTTCTCAAGTGGCAACTTCCCAAATATGCAATTTTCTAAGTGACAAGTTGACAACTTCCCAAAGGTTAGGTTAGGCCTTCTGACTTCAGAGGCACTGCAGACTGCCATGGGGGCCATGGGCTGCGACTAAGATCGGCCAGTGGCCCGAGCGCTGCGGCTAAGACACACTTGGGAAGCTAGTTGCAACTTGGGAAATTGCACTTTCTGACTTCTGAGGCGCCGCAGACTGCAGCGATGGGTGCCATGCGCTGCGACTAAGATCGGCTAGTGGCCCGATCGCTGCGGCTAAGACACACTTGGGAAGCTAGTTGCAACTTGGGAAATTGCACTATTTGGAAGTTGCAACTTGGGAAAATACCATTCGGAAGTTGCCACTTGGGAAAAGGCCTTTGGGAAAGTACCTCAAAGTGGTTCTAGGAATACAGTGGTAACCAGAAAACAATGAAATGATTGCACAACATTCATATCGTTGCATGATTCAAACTAGTATTTAGAAGTACTGACAAGTCTAATATGCATTTACTGGTATAACTAGTTGCCCTAGCACGTTTAATGCACAAAATAGAGTCTGGCAGATAGATCAGGGATTGTCATATTTTTTTAAGTTTGAAATGTCGCTAAAGATATTGCAAATTATAGTTCATAAAAATGTGCCTTAAAAATGTTCAGAAATATTTTGGTCCCCCTTTTCTTTCAATAGATTGATATAAGTTATTGATAAAAAGAACATTAGAAAATTTATAAAATTTATTTAAAGAATTTTCAAAAAAGAAATTTGAAACGGATGAGACTTGAACGACGGTTTGCTTGATTCAACGATAAATAGGCTCAATTGTGATTTATGCCTTAGATAAAGTTTTTAAATGGCATGTTTTGGCTGAGGATAAATCAAGTTTAGAGGTATAGGACACACAAAATATATCAAGTTTAGAGGTATAGGACACACAAAATATATCAAGTTTAGAGGTATAGGACACACAAAATTAAGAAAAAATACTGAATAAATTCGTCTCATCCTATGTAGTTAACCCTGTATTTAATAATCTAATCTTAGAAATGCGAAATTGTTAAATAAGTTAAAATATTATTAAATGAAATTATTTTACTTTACTTACTCTAGAGATAGGGTCAATATACTTGATTTCAACTATTTCTTTTCTCCATCTAACATGTTTATCAGTTCAAACTACACAAACTTTTAGTTTTCCACCCTTCCCCTCTTTCTCCTCTCCACAAAAGAGACTTTAACAAATAGACTAATATATCAGAATAGAACGATTAAAACATAAATAGTTCAAAATACATTGGAATAGAATAGAATAGATATAGATATAGAATAAAACAGTTTGTCTTTCAGGAGTTTGTCCTTCAGGAGCTTGTCTTCCAGGAGTTCATTTCAGGAGTTTGTCTTCCAGGATTTTTTTTATGAGTTTGTTTTTCAGAAATTTGTCTTTTCATGAGTTTTTCTTTTGCAGGAAATTGTTTTTCTGGAGTTTGTATGTCAGGAGTTTGTATGTCAGGAGTTTGTATGTCAGGAGTTTGTCCTTCAGGAGTTTGTTCTTCAGGAGTTTGTCTTTCAGGAGTTTGTATTTCAGGAGTTTGTCCTTCAGGAGTTTGCCTTGCAGGAGTTTGTATTTCAAGAGTTATGTATATTTAAAGTTTAACTGATTTCCTAATAGTCGACTGTATTCTCTCAGCCTCGTGTTGGTCTTCTGCCACTAAACGGTTTACAACCCTACAGTGGTATCATAATACAATTATAGTCTTTATTATAATGTGGAATTCAACTGAAACTTTATATTTTTAGTTTAATACGATAATTATGCAAATGCTAGTTTTTTACAGATTTATTTATGATTAAAGATAAACTTACCTAATTACCACTCAGAATTATAATATAATACAGTGAAACCCTTAATAACGAATACATCGGAAGAATTTATCAAATGTCGTCTTGACAATTTTTCAATGAGTTTTATACTATATAGAGAAGGGAGTCTTACGATCCAATCCTGAGAAATACCACACGGTACATATATTAGGTCTTTAGGGAAATCGCTAAGTAGCGAAACAAGTTTTTTACAGATTTATTTATGATTAAAGATAAACCACTCAGAATTAAAATATGATACATAAAAAGTTTTCTTAACTGACTTTGTTTCCTTACAAGTTACAAGTCAGTTGAAGAGGTGTCCTCATTCACAACGGTACCCTTTATTCTTGAATTCTTATCCGAGTAAGGCTTCCTTTGTGATTCTTTAATTACGGCCCGGGGAGTATGGAATAGAAGGGAGATACAACTGACGCGGCCTGCCCTACCATATGATTATGCATGATTTGCAGACGGTACTTCATTTTAATAAGAAATATTTGTTTGATGTACAATTACCGCGTATACAATAACCTATTCTGAATATTTCTTATACAAATGAAGTACCGTCTGCAAAGCATGTATGTAAGGCGAACCGCGTCAGTTATATCTCCCTTCTATTCGTTACTCCCTGGGCCCACTTGTACGTAATTACACCGACACTTAATAGTCAATCCCTTTAAAGTGGTCATTCTTTAGTAAAGTAATAAAGAAAACTGAAGAAGGAAAAACCCCGAAAAATTAGTTTGGCAAAAAAATGATACTGATAATGTGCAACATGAAATCTGTAACAGAAGTTTCGGAATTATAATGAAAAATATATGATTATAAAACTCAAAGATGGACACCATTTAAAAAAATATCTTCTCGCCTGAGTTTCTTGGTGACATCATATGGAGGTGGGGAGGGAGGGAACCATTCAGTATCACTGTGGTTATCAACATCTATGTACTTCACGGTGTACCCCTGCGACATACTGTCTCCTCAATGTCGTCTTTATTCGACTAAATTAATCAACATCATTTCCATTCATCTGAAAATTGAATTTTTAAACATGGAAATAAGATTATCAAATTGAAATGTAGAAAAAACGAACCTTGAAAAAAAACATTCATTAACTTTTTATACTAATCCCTCCGGTTTAAATCTCGTTTAAAATTTACTGTATCCATTTAAACTTTATTTAATGCGGAAGATAATGTCGTTTTTTTTAGCGTGGTAAAAATTCAATTTTGAAATATTGTCTACTATTGTTTCTAGAGGAAAAATAGGTCTCGTTAATCTGACATGCCATTCTATAAATGGAGAGTCTCTAGAAATTTCGACTACGACTACTTTGTGAGATTAAAAATCAAGAATTAATTAAAGACCTTTTTCTATTTATAAACCTAAATGGCCTCATTAATATCCCTCAGACAATGGAAACCTTGTAGTTTCCACGTTGCTTTAATTTGTGTTAAAGGAAGGGATGTTCACTGAAATCCTTTACAAGCTTACACAACAAATAGAGGCATCCATCCAAGTTGACTCGCCCTCTCTCTCCTGTAAAGTTTAGCTTTTGACTTTTGTCCTGAAAGTTGGTGATTTTTAATCCTTCTAACATTTTGACGGATTGTCCTATTAGAATTGGTGAATTAAAATTTTGTTTTTTTACTTTTTCCACAAGTTTTTTTTTCAAATTTAAAACCTTCCCTGGGGGTCATGTGAGGTCCCACACAGAATTTAGGCGGGATCGGTTCTGCAGTTTTGACGTTTATTGGATACAAACAGACAGAAAGACAATAATTTATAGATAGAAATAGGATATGCATGAAATGGTGTTTACTGCAAACCTTCAGATTTATTTTGAAGAAAATTTTATTTTCTAATTTTAGCTGAAATGAATTTGCTCCTTGCAGTTTAGTTTAATGCACCGTGCTTGTGAAACTAAAAATCTTAAGATAATAATAATTATAAGAATGGTTAATCCACCAAAGTTTTAAACTATTGTTAAATTAATAAAAAATCCCTTTTCAAGTTGAACTAATACAAAAGTTCAGTGATAAATATGTTTTGTCTGCTATCAGTAAGTTTACTTGAGGTTTTGTTTAATAAATTTTTACATTATTTTCACATGGTTCAAGAAAGGTTCATAGCAGGTTGAAATAAAAAAAACAATTTCATTGGAAACGATTTCTTTTATAAAGCACAAATAAATAAGGTTGCAGCAGTGAAAATGTATGATTATTAAATTAGTTGGTTTTGGTGTTTTTTGATTGTCTATTTGTTTATTTCTCAAATAAACGTAAACGGGCGTACGTCATATTATCTTTTATATATAAAGTTGTAATCTCTGTTTGTTTGTTTGCATGTATGATCAGAACTTAGGAACCCATTAAACAATTTGCCTCAAATTTTGATTGGAGAACTCATTAGAACCAGGGAAATGTTATTAGTTCGATTTGAGTCAAGTTGAGTGGTTTACTTTGCTTACTTTTATAGAGAATGTTTAGTTTTCAGGCAAAGCTGGGTTCACAAGCTGGTCTCTTATAAAATAAGGAAATCCTTTTTAAAAAACATACTGGAAGCCTGGTATCTTAATTCATTGATTTTGATATCTTAATATCCCTCTCTTCCCTCTCCTTACAATAGAAGTTTCCTTGGGACTGAAGGTATACAACTTTTACAGGGATTATTCGATGAGTCATCTATTATATAAGTTGTCTTTTTATATACTATTTAGTTGTTGTTAAAATATTAATTTCAGATTTCGACGACGAGTTTGGTGGTGTCAAATTCGGCCGCAGTATGATGTCCCTAGGTAAACAGTACTTTTAAATAATCTTCAAATTCAAAAATAATTTTCTTTTAAAAAATGTTCATTGGTGAATTTTTTTATGATAAAAGCACTTTTAAGAGTGCTAGTTGGGATAATTCCTTACAAAAATTATCATAGAATTTCTTTTGTTTTTGTTTACATTATATTTTTATTTATTTAGTGACCTTGTTTGGGGGGTTGAAGAATGTTTTTAAGGTAAAATAAAGACTTTTTCAATTTGTTTTAACCCTTGATATCAGAGTATACAATTTTTAAAAGTAAACACTCCCTTTAAAGGGACTGATTACATTATTTTAAGTGACCCTTTATACAAAGATGGCAATGTCCGATTTACAACGGCTCCCTTGAAAGCTTTGTCTGATCAAGTATAAATTATAGACGCCAATTTTTTGTTTCTTAAAACTTTTTATTTTCATTTGCGGCTTTTCTATTCCAGAGGGACTTGCGCATTTCTTGTTTAAATTAACACTCCAGAAACTAACAAAAATAATCGCTTTTATGCACTGTTAGGAAAACGACAGTATATGTTCCACATTATTGATTAGATTAAAATTTAAAGTTGTAAATCGGACATTGCCATCTGTGCATGGAGGGTCACTTGAAATTACGCGTACAATCCCTTTTATAAACTTTATAAAAACCTATCTTGATCCATCTATAACATGTTAAAGCATGCAACCTTCATAAAAAAAAATCTGAACGATCTGGCTTCAAAAAGATGATAAACTCCTTTGAGATTTGAATTGAATTCACTCTTCATCAATAAACAGTTTATCCATACCTTCACTCCTAGTTATTTAGTCATTTTTCTGTTTTGCTATTTTGCTCGTAAAAACATGTACAACAAAAATGAATGCATTAAGAACCTGCCAGCTATACTCTTACTCTTGTGAAAATATATTGTAAATAGATTTATGACATTATGACTTTTATCTAGCTAATTTTATCATTGTAATGGCTAGTTACAATATATGTAGATTTACAAAAATAAAAATTCGTTTATCAATGAATTATTTTATCATTTGTTCCTTGATTTTTACATCATATTTTAGAGCATCAGCACATAAAGTGTCCATTCAATGGTTAAAACAAATATGCAAATATTAACATTTTTTCAGGTCAAAGCTTATTCAACGGATAACTTTCTCTTTAGATTACATTATAAGGTAAAAAAATAAGACGTTTTTATTCTCTATCTATTATTTTTTTAAAAATAATCGTTCATTTCACGTTCGTCAATTTATGATAGTTTCTATATTTTTCAAAACGTGTTTTTATGCGTTCGTAAATTTTTCCGACCGATGGCGTCGTTAATGTGGAATCCATAAAAAAAAAAAGAATTTGTAAAAAAAATTAAGCGATTAAGCTGTCTTGTATTTGTCCAAGCTGTCATGTATTTGTCCAAGCTGTCTTGCGTTTTTCCAAGCTGTCTTGTATTTGTCCAAGCTGTCTTGTATTTGTCCAAGCTGTCAAAGGTTTCTGTTCTCATCTTAAATGAGATATATAAATATTTATATATATTTACATAATTCACTAAATTATACTTTATTTTTAAATTTTTATTTAGGTAACTATGGGTCTACTCCTTGGTTGTGCTCTGTTGATAACAGCAGTTCAGCTAGTTACTGATCCTATCATCTGCGATGTTAAGGTATTTACTTTTTATATTTTCACAATAAAGATTGCTTTTCGAATCGCCATTTTATCATCGTACTTTAAAAAACCTAGATTTTTATTTCCATTAGCCTTAAACCATCCCTAGGGTCATGAGAGTTGCCACACCTGACATTTATTAAGTACAAATATAGGAAGAAAAAGACCTTAGACAAGCAAAATAAATATTTCTAGAAGAACATTATAGCCAGATGCTGATCTATCTGTTGATAAACTATTTTTTTATTTGGATAATATAATTTATTTTATTATTCAAATAACAAATTCATTTAATAAAAGATTTCTGATTATAACATGATTTATTCTTTGTTTATTCTATTATAGTTAGTTAGTTAATTAGATATTGTAAAAATTAATTTAAAATTAACTATTTTATTGATGATATATAATTGATTAGGGAGTACATGCAGGTATTTTTAATGCTTACTGTTGGACACATGCTACATTTACTCTTCCTTACAGGCAGGTATATAGAAGACGACATCAAACAAAACCACATTATTTTGAATTTTATTTGTTGACAAACATGCAAACGGACTTAGAACAGAATTATTTAAAATAAAAATAATATTTTACAACTTTACTTCAAAATGATAAATGAATTTAAAATACCTAGCATACTCATGTATATTTTTCAAGAAAGGATTTGATGGCCCTAAAATACAGCCTGGAGTTGGTCCCCTTAAACCAGGGGTAGACTCACAACAGGAAGCAGTCTACCATGGATTCTACCAGGTGAAGGGAATCAGTCTAATTATTCTTGTTAAGTGAGTTAAACAATGAAATCAAATTGTTGTCTACTTTTTTATGAAAAGTTTTGTTAATCTTGAACGTTTGATCTCAATATCCAATGTGGGCATTTTTAAATTTGAGGATCGATGCTTGATCCATTACATTAGAGTTATCCCTTCAGGGTATAAACATCATTGGATATCTAGAAGGAATTAGATTAATCCTTAGGTCTGCTTGTTCCCGAGATTAACAATACAAAAGTTCTGATTTCTGAACATGTTTTAACATATATCAGTAAAAGCAAGTTAAAATCAAAATATCCTAAGTAACATGTCTTCATTAAAGGTAAGAAGGAAGACGGCATTTATTCCACTATTTTCCGGTCAGCACAGTATATTTTTTTAACTTGTATTTGTAATTTCATATTTCATATTTTCAAGCCCCCTATTGGACCAAGTACCAGGGTTACCAATAAAAGGATAAGATTTTAAAAACAACTAAAATAATAATAATTCTATTTACTCATTTTGTACAGTGCTCGGCGTTTATACAAATAACAACGAAGACGATATTTTTATTAAAACTTTGATTTCTAACAAGCTTTTTTTAAATTACAAGTTTACAAGAGAACAAAAAGAAGCTGTTAACTGACAGCTTCTCTTTGTTTTCATGTTTATGTGTATCCAATTTGCTGCTTGAAACCTTGGTAGAAATCAAATATTAAAATCGAAAGTTCCGTACAGTCGTCTCTGTAGTGTCATCAATACAACAAAGACGACATTTCTCTTTCAGTTTGGATTTCTAACAAATGTTTTTCAAATCAAAAGTTTACAAGTGAACAAGGCAAACAAATCAAAAATTCCGTACAGTCGTCTCTGAAGTTTCATTCTGTATGAGAAACTCTGTCGTAAAATTTTATATTTTTTTGTTTGTTTAGTGGGTTGGGATGGCACTGTTTGGACAGGCGCTAACATTTTATATTCCGCACTTCTTGTGGAAAACATGCGAAGGGAAGAAAGTAGAAAGATTAGTTTCAGGTAAAGATGGAGAGCAGATCATTTTAATCATTTAAAAATAGCTGTTTTTAACGTAACCCAGAGATTAGAGAGTACATAGATCTATTAAATGATATTATCCACAGTAGGTTCCACTTTGTGTACAACTGGAGTACACGACCAATAAACAGACGTCTGTATTCAGGGATATTTAAGGATCCTTTCAATACGAAATAAAATAAATAAATAGAAAATTGCAACAAGTGGCAGTTATATGGCAATCTAAAACCTTTCGTGGAAATGTAGCATGTTGAGCCGGTACAACTTATAAGTAGTCTGTGAAATAACCATACAGTATTAGTAAAGTTCATTCTTCAACTCTAGTTCTCAGTTTACACGTCTGTGAACTCTGTACTGCATATGCATTAAGTCCTACTGTCCAGTCTGGACTACCAAGTGTTGAGTCGACCCAGCACGTTTTATGCAGCAAATATAGGCTGGCAGCAAGATCAGTGTACTCAATCATTGATTTTTTTCCGCCATTTTTTTTTAACTATTTGAACATTCTTTTAGTCGTTATTTTAATAAATGTGATTGTTCATAAGAAACAGTGAATTCGATAAAGTCAATATTTTTCAAGATAAAGTACGATTAGATTAGATTAGATTAGATTAGATTAGATTAGATTAATAAACTTGACAAAGTAAATTAAAATGCCCTAGAAAAGGTGAAATTCTTGTCGTAACTATTATATCCTCAAGATCCTTAATATTCTTCTAAAATAATAAGTAAATTATGATCGCTTTGCGCCCATCTTCCATTTCAATTGTGACCATTCTATTTTGTATACAAAACATTTTATAAAAAAATCGTGAATTTTCAAAATATAATGAAAATCGAATTTTGTTGGAGGCTAATTTTTTAAATTTTATCATCCACTAATCAAAGAAAAGGAATTTAAAAATTTGTTTAATGATTTTTTTTATCAATTTTAATCGTCCCATAACTCTACCCTGGGGTCATGTGAGGTCCCACACAAAATTTGGGCCCGAACGGTTCAGCCGTTAAGACACAAAAAGACAGACAGACAAGCAGAGCATATATGTAATTGATGATGTATCATTTAAAAAAAAATAACAATGACCAAACGATTTTTTTCGAAAACGGTCTTTTTTGCTATTCGTGTAAAATATGAGGTTTGTAAATACATCTAACAATGCTTATATCTATATATAAATTTGGCTTGTCTGTCTGTTTGTCTGTCTGTCTGTTTGTATCCAATAAACGTCAAAACGGCTGAACTGATCGGGCCCAAATTTTTTGTGGGACATCTAGGGACCCCAGGGAAGGTTTATGAATGATCAAAATTTCAAATATTTGTCTCCATCAAAATTCGATCTCCATTAAATTTTTTAAAATTTTGAAAATCCACGAAATTTTTTGTGAAAATCCGCGAATTATTTTTGTTTTGTTTTACGATGTACACAAAGAGAACATGTTCACAATTAATTTAGAAGATGGGCTTCGCGCAAATTTTGCCCCCCCCCCCCGGCCTAGATTTATTTCTGTCTACGCCCTTGACTGTATAACAAATTTTTTATCCAATATTGTGTTTGTAATTTCGAACAAAAAAGGTTGAGGCTTTTTAAAATTAACGAACTGAAAACTTGATGAAATCAGTTTATTGTCTCTGAATTACAGTCTTTCAGTAACTCCGTTTTTTTCAGGCGTCTCTTCTCCTGTAGTGTCTGAAGAAATTAAGAAAAAGCATAAAGTTGCAATAGGAATTACATTTTTTTGTATTTTTAATGGCTGGTTTTTATCTTTCTTTTTATCTGATCATAAATTGTGTTCTGTTCTTCTCATTTAAATCTACGCATTTTAATCTCTTGTTGACAAGGGAAATTTGAAACATATTTCTGATTCATAATATTATCCAATTTGATATCTTGGCGCCAGAAATATCAAATTAATGGAATCAGAATTAATGACAAGACAAGTCGGAAAAAAAGCCAACAGTCCCTTTATTCTTTTAAATTTTGTTCGGAAAAAATATGCTGATAATGCAATAATCATTTACTGCCTTAATTTAAAAAAAAATAAAATTTGAAGCTGAATACTTTTCCTGCAACAAAAGAAGACACATTCTTTATGGATTAAGGTAATTATTTAATAATTAGATCCTTTCTTACAGTCATAACCAGAAAACTCTGGAATAGGAAGTATATTTTAAGACTCAAGTTATGAATTTAAATATTCCCAATGAACATGAGACACAGCAAATGTGCAGTGAAAACAGACCCATTTTATTAAATAATTGATTTACTAACTTACTAGTAAAGCTATTTGCTTTGTTACAGCATTAAATGCACTTCTGTATTGATTTAATGTCGTCTTCCTTTTCTACAATTTTCTGCAAATCACTGTACAGCAAAAAAAGTTAAGTTTCATTTAAATTTTTGATCAGAATTCGGTTTTAAAGGTTCCGTTGTAAATCGGGCCTTGTCATCTTTGTATGGAGGATCCCTTGAAATTATGCTTACAGTCCCTTTAAGGTATATTTTTCTAGATTTGTTGGTTGTGAGACTCTAAACTTGATGAACGTATCTCTACAAATTTATTTGATTGATCGATTGCTGGGCGGAGAGTTCTCAACGTACGGTACACGGTAAACATTTGTCTAGCTGTACTTTGTACACTGTACACTGTACAATGTACACTGTACTCTGTACAACTGAAGTGTATACAAGGTGTTCCTTTAAACAGGAAAATCAAGAGAATTATTAAAAGGTCGTCTTAGATCTTTGATAGCTTTTTCATACAAAGATTGTACACTAATTGTGATTTTTACATAGAAATGAGGTTTGATTCTATAACTGATTATCCGTCAGGGGCAATTGTCCCCTCTGATATAAGTTTATAGAAACAGATTGTTTGGTTGTTTTTTTAAGGGGGCCGCTAGCCGCTACCTAAGAAATGTCTCTGAAATAGGAAAACAACTTTTAGACTTCAGTTTTGACTTTGAATAGTCCAATGAACATGAAACACGACAACTGTGCAGGGTAAACAGACCTATTTGAATTAAATAAGTAATTTAATAAATTAATACTTTACTTGTAAAACTATTTGCGTTGTAACAACATCAAATAGATACCCTTAAGCAATGCTAAACTGTCATTTTTCTATTTTACAGTTTTCTGGTTCTCACTCATTATATTCATCATATTCATCATATTCATCATATTCATCACATTTAGCATATTCATCATATTCATCACATTCATCATACTTGTTATTTAAGGGTTCTTGAGTTTATGCTGTTGGATGATGAAGAAAGATTGGATCCTATGGTCACTGTTTTCCCTAAAGTTACAAAATGTGTTTTTCACAACTTCGGTACTTCAGGATCTATTCAAAGGTAGGTTTTATTAGGAGTGGGGGGGGGGTTCAATTTATAATTTTGAACCAAACTAAGCAAGCTCATTTCACTCCAAAATTTATTAGTATGTTGTCAATTCTTCGTTATCAACTAGAAATGCTCGCATTACAGTTAAGTTATTAAAATGTACATGTTCACAGTTCAAGGTGACAAAAAGTAGAAGTGGGTTAATAACGTTCAATCAAAGGCCAAGGAAGTGTGACACTTCAAATTTGACACGGTCTAAAAACGTGATTCTTAACTTTTAGGTTGTCCGAATCTCTGTTTATCATAATTATCAAAATGTCAGAAAATTTGACAGATTTACATAAGGAAGACCAAGGGTATAATGCAAGGAAAGTTAATTGCTGTCGTGTATACTCTGCGTACATATTGAAACCAGTTCTCTCTGGGCGGACTTTGTAAACAAGAATAGATGCATCAGTGTTCGTTTAGTATCCGAGGAAGTTAAAAGCATTAAATTTTGATAATTTTGATAATTCTCACAATAGTTTCCTATGACCAGAATATTTCATTGATTTTTTTATGTGAAAGACGGATCCCATGTCAGGCTTTGACATCCGTCTTGTGTTTACATTACCGCCCAGAGAGAGTACACTGCAGTACAAAAGATGTGTACGTACTTCTGAAATAACTTTCCTTGCATTACATCCTTTAGTGATTTTCGGCATTTTTTTCATCCTTTACTTTTAACATTATACAATTTTTTGTCTTCAGATGGCTTTACAATAATGCATGCGGTCTTACATTTTATATCGAAATCTCGTTTGTTGCAAGTAATTTGTTATTACGTTATGCAAACTTCTTTATTTGAAAAATCGTTTAGCACAAAAACCATTTCTGTGCAAATATGTAACCCTTACCCACACACGAAGGATGAGACTTGAGAGACGACTGTACAGACTTTACTTTACTTTACTTTACTTTACTTTACTTGAGAGACAGAATTTACTTTTTTCTCACATTCATGGTTCCCTACAATTGTAATCTTGCAAACCTTGTCAAATCTTTAAAAATACCATTTCATGGCCAGGAACCCAAATTAATGTGTTGTGTTTAAAGAGTTTTATGTCGTCATTAATTAAGGTCTAATATAAGGAGTGTCGACATGTTACATATAAAAAAGGCAAACATTTAAAATTTTTCTAAACTTAGATTTCTGATGAGGAATATTTTTATGACTAAAAAGGGGAAATTCTTTAATAAGAATAACAAAATTTCCGAAAACTTGTAATAAGAATTATATTTTTTAGATTTGATGGTTTATGTGTTTTACCCATCAACACAATTAACGACAAAATATACATAGCACTCTGGTGATTAATATATTTAATTGAACACAGTAACACCCATAAAACTGTGGAATAGGAAGAAGACTTTTCAGCACATTATTTCATTTGATGTTCTTAAAAAGAAAAATGTTTTAACGGTAGGATTTTTAAAGTTAAATTGGGCCTGTTTATGGATTTTTTAAATTCAGAACTTGATTCTAACATTCGTCTTCTTTTTCCAGAGTTTTAAGATTCTCATTGTAATTTGTATTTTTTTACACTAAAATTTATTTTTCATAATTCTATATCGTGATTCGTAAAGATAAAAAAAGAAGGATATAAAAACAATTATCTATTCATAGATTAAAAACGATGTCTTTCCATCCAGAAAAAAAAATTGGCATTTGGACTTTACTGAAAGGGGTTTAAATAAAAGTCTTTATACACTTTTTATTTAATTATGTTTTTTTATTATACACATCAAGTAAAGATGGGCATAGAATTGGGTTTTTTAAACATTAAAGTTTAAAGTCTTTCGAAAGGCTCCCTAAAAATCTGAGATGTGTGCCACGTTTGAAAAATACTTTGTAACATTTTTACAAGGTTTTGGCTTCTTAATCTTCTAATTTGCTCCACAATATTCATGGTATACAGGTAGACGCATAGAATTATATTCACCGATTAATATTATTGTAAAATATAAGATTAAAGACCTTCATTGCTGTATAGTTAGGGCTGTACAAAGTTACAATAACAACGGTCGGAAGCTTTAAAAAATTTACGGAAAATTCCGTTAACAACCGGAAAACCAGATTGTCTCTGGATAACAAAATCTTTCATAAGCCGATCTCCACGGACCCGAAAAATGCCGTTACTTTTGCCAGTTTAACCTTGTAGCTATTTTGATATTTAGTGCACTAATTTTTTTGACCTGACCAAAAACGATCTTTATATCTAACATATTTTAATTTCAAATATATTAAATATAAAATGTATCTAGACTAGTGACGATGATAAGCCCACGAGCTCGGCTTGCCCTGATGAAGGCAACAGCTCCTAGTTTAAACAGGTTCAATTCTTGTTTTATTATTTGGTTTGGTAAATTCCTTCAGGCTATTTTGTATTTAGGAAAACCAGTTCTAGTTTCAATATTTGGTTCATTTAATTCCTACACGCCATTTTGTGTTTAGGAAAACCAGTTCTAGTTTCAATATTTGGTTCATTTAATTCCTACACGCCATTTTGTGTTTAGGAAAACCAGTTCTAGTTTCAATATTTGGTTTATTAATTCCTACACGCCATTTTGTATTTAGGAAAACCAGTTCTAGTTTCAATATTTGGTTATTTAATTCCTACACGCCATTTTGTATTTAGGAAAACTAGCTCTATTTACATTGTGTGGATACGGAATATTCCCATGCCATACATATTCGGTATTTCGTTCTAATTTTATCATTTGGTTTGGCGAATTCAGGCTACATACACGCCATTTTGTTCCTAAGGAAACCAATTCTAGTTTTCCTATTTGGTTTGGCAAATTCGGACGCCATTTTGTTTATAGAAAAACCAGCTTGTTTGTGAAAACTCAGATTGGGTTTGGAGATTGGCTGATTCTTGGTATGATGTCAAACCATCTAGATATTAAGGAAAAAATAATTTAAAACTTAAATTTTAACAGATTCTACAGGGTGTCCCAATAAACATGGAAATTAAATGACGACTTCTATATCGTCTTTTTCCAAGTGGGATTATTTAGTAAACATAATTTTGTAGTATCACAGTTAAAACATTTAACACCGAAAACTAGAAGTCTCGGGATTTCAAAATGTGGTCTACCTTTTTTCACCTTCAAAATTGGCGGAGATATTAGGAAATTTGTCCAGATTTCAGTTTATTAAATATCAACAAAACTGTTTCAATGCTTAAAATCTATGGCAATTTTAAAGATACAAAGGAAGTAGACCACATGTTGGAAGCGTACTAAATGAAATCGGAAATCAAAGACGATATTCAAGTCGTCTCTCAATTCCCATGTTTATTCTGACACTCTTTAGTAAAGTAAAGAACGTTAATTGGAAAACTGTATTTTAAATCATTGATGATGAACTTTACATTGTTTGTTCCACAGTTGTTTACGGACATCTTAAAAGAAATCCAGCGGATTGGAATGCTAAGCCAACGGAGTGTTTCAACGCATATTGATCTTTTACAGGTTTCCTTATTAAAGACATTGAAATGATTTTTTTTTTTTTACTTTCATGAAATGTTAAGGATTTGTATTTAATAACTAATTTATTCCTGAAAATGGGCCTTGAAAATTTATAGACAATTACAAATTAAGAAATCCAAATGCAACATTTTTTGATTTAAAGACGACAACAATTATTCCACAGTTTTCTGAAAGGATGAATTATTCAGGGTTCTGATACTGAGATAGAGAATGAAGATGAGTGTAAGGAGAAGGATGGTAGCAGGGTGTCTGAGGTGTCTACAGTTACAATGATTAGAAAGGTAGGATTGCAATATTTACCTAAGTAAACTCTGTACACTTTACACTATTCTAATTATTCTGACTATTCTGACTATTCTGATTATTCTGATTATTCTGATTATTCTGATTATTCTGGTCATTTTGATTATTCTGATTATTCTGATTCAGAAGATCAGATTACTGATGCTATACAGTTAATATAATTGATAAATAAAATTTTTTAATCTTTTTGACTTGAACAACTAGTGAAATATTATTTAAAAATTGTAAACCTTAAAAATGTTTCATTTCAAAAGAATCCTAAAGTTTATCTCTACAATACTGCACTTTGAGCTGTCTAGCGCCGGTCTCTCCCTTAAATATTGATTATTAAATCATTCTTTTATGGTTTCTCTTGAATTGTAGAACCAGACTCAGACTGATCTTCATGGCCTAGATAAAGCAATTGTTCAAGAGATGATTGCAGATGGGTAATCAATCAATCAATAAGAAAATCAATAAAGAAATCAATAAATCAATTAATCATTCAATTTGTCAATTGATCAATAAATCAAGAAATTAATTAATTAATTGTCAATCAGTTCGTCAGTCAATCTGTCAATTAATAAAACATTTAATAAATTGATTAAGTTTTTAATTGGTTAATCTTGTTATTAATCAATTAATACATCAATCAACCATTTAATCAATTAACTAATCTGTCAATCAATTAATTAATCCGTCAATCAATTAACTAATCCGTCAATGAATTAATTAATCCGTCAATGAATTAATTAATCTATCAATCAATTAAATAATCTGTCAATCAATTAATTAATCTCTCAATAAATTAATTAATCTATCAATCAGTTGATTATTTTGTCAATAAATCAATCAATTGAATAATTTATATATCAGTAAAGCAACAAATTTTCATCGTCTGCTTTCTTTATTGATTAATTTTGACCTATTTTGTTATTAATAACTTTAAATAATATAAACAATTAATTTTACCAGGTATGATCCTTCCCAGATGTCTGATTGGCAACAATTCAGGTGAAACATTAAATAAAAATTTTGGGGCAAAGTATCAAAATAGCTGAATAGCAAAAAAAAATTTATTGATATGGTAACAATAGTGTAAACATAAAGTTTTACAATAAATACTGTTCTTATGTTCCGGTTAACAATTAAGTCTAACAAAATGTAAAAATGTATATTTTCAAGTTGTCCAATTTCAGAAACCATAGAATTGGGGACAATGAGATGGCCACGAATCACAAGGATAGAGTAGGAACATTTTTTTATTTTTCAAAATTTTATAAAATTTATTTGATCTATAATGTGAAGATATTGTCGTTTTCCTAGGTTTAAAAGTAAATTGATAAACTAGAAATATGCAAGTCACTTTAGGAGAGAACGCACAGATGAAAATAATCAGTTTTCAAAATTATAAACAATGATATCTTATTCATACTTCATCAGACAAAGCTTTTAAGGGAACTGTTGAGACATCTTTGCATGGAGGATCATCTGAAATTACGTTTACAGTCCCTTTAGATAAAAATATTTTCAGAAAGATGGACTATTAGTTCTTACAAGGGGTATTCTTGACTCTTCAGTTCATAGATTTAATAATAATAATAATAATACTAATAACAATCATAATATAGGGGATCTATGGATGGTGATGAAAGTATAATGTTTGGTGGGAATGACAACACTGATGCAAAATCAGAATATAATTGAATAATCCATTAATTCTGAAAGTGGCTGACCACATAATTTCCAGTGACCATAATTAGTGACTAGAAGTTTGGTCTTTAGCTAGAGTGTATGATCAGGGTTTTTTTTTCTTTATGTTGTTCACTAAAGAAAAATCAGATATTGTGTTGCCTTTTATATAAATTTTGAGTAGTTTGTTTGTATTTGAGAAGGTTGCTGGTTTTTTTTTTTAAATTATAATAAATTATTAATTGTCTACATTAGTTAATTAAGAATTGTAAATATTAAATTTTGCATTTATTTTGTAGATACAATTAATTATTTACTTATAGTAATAGTATTCATAAATAATAACATTTTAATGGAACTTATTGAAATAGATTCAGAAGAATTTATATTATTGTTAAAAGTTCAAAGATTGGAATTTGTTTTGAAATCTGCAACTATATCAATAGAAGATCAAAAATCATATATCTCTGTGCATAAAGGTACTTAAGAAGCGAGATTTCAAGTTAGTATCTATTTGAAATGGTTCGATTCTCCACAGTACCATTTAAACATTTGACTGATAAAGGTCAATTCTTGAACACTGTGTTTGCAAGCTGTTCTAGTATTCAAGAAATATTCATATTTACTCTCTAGAAGCCGCAGATAACTAAATATTTACACTGTACACCCAAACTTTTAAAATCTGCATTGAACGTAGAACATTTGGAAGTTTTATTGAATAAATGTAACGTCAGGTAAAACATTTGGGGTCTTATAGAATCCTACAGAAATAAAATTGAAAATTATTACTTATTTTCCATGATAACAACTAATTATTTTTTCATATCCTGTTTCTAAAACTACTTTATGCAAATTTTATTTTGCTAAGATTATTAAAAACGGTGTTTATACGTTTTTGAGGGGACCGACAGCGAGAGTCAAAAACCTTAAAATTTGGACTGCCCTGTGCTTTTGGGCCTCTGTCAAAAACCCAGCGATCCTGGAACAGTCATAGGCTATTGGTTTTCTGAGATTAAAGGGACTGTAATGGAAAGATGAAAGGGGGTATAGGATGAAACCTGAGATTTTCAGGTTGCTGTGAGATATAGTGTTTTCAGATTGGTTGCGTAATTCTTGAATATGATCTGTTTAATACTACAACTTTTATGCAAAATCTGACATATGCCCTTTTTGGTATAATTTTGACACAGTTTTATGTCAATTTCTCGAGACAGGAACATAAGATAAATGTCTTATAGGTATCGTTCAAAACCTGAAATTCTCAGGTTTTATCCTTTACCCCCTTTCATTTTTCCTTTACAGTCCCTTTGAGAAGAAAAAAAATTCCCATGGTGTTGGGACTCCTGGGCTTCTGGCACACATAATGGTTTCACTAAGTTTAAAAGAAGTAATTGGCAACATACTGATCGGTTTTGGTGTGTGGATGTGCACATCTTGGTTTGCAGTGTTAGTAAAACCATTATGTACACCAGTTCAGGTTGAATATACGTGGTTTTAATCTGTCTACGTTGTTTAACTACTACTGCTCCTGCATAAAACCATAAAATATCTTAACTTTTCAGTTTCTGGTAGCTTTTCTCACCTGCTTGGGGATCGTTCAGAACCAATAACGATTGCAACGGCGGTGGGATCAATCTATCTATCTATCTATCTATCTATCTATCTATCTATCTATCTATCTATCATCTATCTATCTATCTATCTATCTATCTATCTATCTATCTATCTATCTATCTATCTATCTATCTATCTATCTATCTATCTATCTATCTATCTATCTATCTATCTATCTATCTATATTTCTATCTATATTTCTATCTATCATTTTATATTTCCTAATCCAACTAAAGATCAACATGTAAAATAGCGGAAAAGACTAAGTTAATTTTCTAACCCATTAATCTTTGCTATAACGATAGACCTTAGATATTTCACAATGAATTCTGTTAGATCAAATAGTCTAAGTTTGAAATATCAAAGGTTTACTCCATCAGGTTGACTTTGTCATTGGAATAAAAAAACATTATCCTGAAGAGAAAAAAAATTGTAAAAAATTAATTTTTCTAATTTTTTATTATCTTTTCTAAAAAAGAACAAAACAGGAAAATCGGCCAGCAATCGGTTTCTTTATTTTAATTTTTATTTTAGATTGGCTGACACTAGAGACTAGAATAGATAGTTTTTAAATCTTATTTTCTCAAATAAAAATTTAACTATTATTTTACAAAAAACAGGTTTACAAAAATGTGTAAATTCCAATAAAACAATAAATATATATTTATTAAATTTTGAATTTATATATATTAATTTTAGCCACAATAAATGCTTTGAGTGCTTTTTCATTGGAATAATATAGGTTCTTTTATTTATTTGGGTTTAAAGCTAATGACAGATTTTTTTATGATTTAGCAAATTTTGAAAGTATTTGAACTTTGTAATAATAATTGAGATTAAAAAGGGAATACAGCGGAACAAGTTTCAGAGAATAAACATAAATAAAATATTTTAAAAACTTGCAAAAATGACATTTGCGTAACTTAAAAAGCCAAAAATAAAAACCTTTTTACAACCCTCCTTTAACTGGTGGTGGGGGGGGGGAGGGGGGGGAAACAAAAAAACGTTTATTTTCTTCAATTAAAATTTACTTGGTCTAATTTACGTTCCAAACTTCGCTAAACTAAAATATAATTTTCTTTTAAAATATTTTATCTAAAACTGTTGATTTTAACAATGGAGTAAATGGTATAGAGAGCACCTTTCATATAAAATTTAGTGATGGTAAACGGCACTAATAAACACATGTAAATTCTCCGAAAGTTCAGAAGACAAAAGTGTCGGGATCTAAAAACAAAAGCGTGTCCTAACAAAATAATTAATTTATAAATGCAATCTTTAAATAAATCTTTGAATTTATCTTACATTCATATTTTGAATTTCATTTTCTGCACATTGAGGTTTACATGGTACATCGTGAACAAACTACATCGTATATACTGTACACACTACAACTTTTAAATATTGTACATAACTTTTTACATTGTACATAGTAAACACTTACATACTGTACACATAAAGAATTAATTGTACAGGCTCTGCACTGTACAGTTTGTTTTAAATGTACAAAGTTAACAATGTAATTAAAACTGTACACTGTAAAATTTGATTATATTGTACATGGTGAAACACTTCACATATAGTACAATGTACATAGACTTTAATTATCACAGAATACATTCTCGACACCGGTTTATGTACATAATTCGTAATCTGATATAACATAAATTACATAAAAAGTATTAAATACAGAGCTCTTGTGAACACTGTACAAGCAAAAAACGTTTAAATTGTTATTGTTTTTTTTTTAAATACTAGTACATCGGTGTAATGGGTTCTCTCAAAAGAAACCAAAAATCTAACAACAACAAAAAATTAGACCAATTTAGGGCCAATGCAGTGGAAATATGAAATATACATCGTAGGCTGAGAATATAAATTCACAAAAGTAAAAATATTTCCTTAAAATACCAATGAAAAAAAAACTGGTTTGATCTGTGCTGCCTACTTGTTCGAGATCAAAACTGGTTTGATCTGTGCTGCCTACTTCTTCGAGATCAAAACTGGTTTGATCTGTGCTGCCTACTTGTTCGAGATCAAAACGTCAGTCGCTTAAGCACTTCAACGGTCATTAAAGAACTTCAACGGTCATTAAAGAACTTCAACGGTCGCTGAAGAACTCAACGGTCACTAAAGAACTATAACGGTCACTAAAGAACTTTAACGGTCGCTTAAGACCTTAAACGGCCACTAAATAACTACAACGGCCGCTAAAGAACTGCGTCAAATAAAGCCATTATTCCTTTTCACATTGTCACTAACTAAATAGTCTTTGGCGGTTAATTTTAGGGGAATGCAGGTATAGATAAATACTATCTTTAAACGGCACGCTGTATCTACTGCACAGACAGGGACAGGGTATGCTTCATGATGTATATTTACCACAGACATGGCATGCGGCTAAGTGTGTCTACTGCAGGCTGCATGAATGTATCCTCTCCAAAGATAGTGTATGTGGCATGCTGTATTTACTGCGTTGACAGGGTATGCTGCATGCTATATTCACTGTGTTGACGGAGTATGCTGCATACTGTATCTTCTGCAAAGACAGGGTATGCTACATACTGTATCTTCTGCATTGACGGGGTATTCTGCATGCTGTATCTCCTGAAAATACGTTATATGCTGCATGCTGTATCCACTGCGTTGACAGGGTATGCTGCATGCTGTTTTTGATGCTGAAACTGGGTATGCTGCATGCCGCTTTTACTTCTATAGACAGGGTATGCTTCATACTGTGTCTACTGCTAACACATTGAATACTGCATACGGAGTATGCTGCTTGCGTTATCAACTGAAAACACATAGCATGATGCATGCTGTATTTAGTGCATATGCTGCATGGAGAGGTATGCCATTGCAGACAATGTTTCAACTTCTTCTCTCTCTTTCTCCCAGGTTTCCAGGTGGGACAGGAGTACACTAGATCCATACCTAGATGGATAGATACAAATAGAATGTCAAGTAGAATAGGTGGCAACGCAGATTGTGTACACTCTCAGTTCAGCTGTATCTACGTCATAAGTGTTAACCAGGGAGTAAGGAATAGCAGGAAGATATAATTGACGCGGTTCGCCCTACCATATGATTATGCGTGCTTTGCAGACGGGTACTTGTTTGTGCTTAACATTTAATTTTTAATAAATGAATAAAACATTTTTGTATTTTATTGGTTTTCTTGTTGTTTTGTATGATGCTACAGGGTGTCCCACGAAACATGACAGTTGTTGAATAGTTTTGAATGTCTTCTTCCATATTCTGTATTAGATATCAAAGACTTTTTGCAGTTTATTTAGTTTTAAAAAACTTTACTCAAATATATTTGTACTTAAAATCAATTTTACTATAATATGTTTTACTATAATATGAATGCCATAAAATATCTATTATTATTCTCTTTGGTAACAAAGAACTTGAAATATAATGGAAGAAGACATTTTATAAAATATTTACCAACTGTCATGTTTCGTGGGACACCATGTATGTGTACTGTAGTCAATATTAAACCCTCAAAAACTTGGTTACTTTAAAGATAGGGTAATCAAATTGATGTTTTGTAAAAATGTATTTTATGAATATATGATGGCGGTCTGTGTCTCAAAAAGTTAGAGGTATAAATTTTCAAAAATTAACTGGGTTTAGTCATTGAACAGTGAACATATAAAATACCCCACGCCATTTTTAAGAAAAGAAAAAAACAGAATAAGCGTACAAATGGGAGTAAATATAGTCTATACTCTATAATGTAATTTGAGTTGTCTTTCTATTTAATAGATTTTGGATATCTGACATTTTTTACGCGCATTTCTACACAGTACACAGACGATATTTATCTAAGCTGAATCTTGGAAATTATATTAACTATAGTTGGACAACATGTCGTCTTTCTTTTTTCATTTGACACTTGTGACGTTGTGGGCAGTTGGTTGATTTTTCTGTTGCCATCTTTTGTACTTGACAATCTATTTGGATATATGTATATATATATATATATATATATATAGATAGATAGATAGATAGATATAGATATATACATAGACAGTTAAATAGATAGATAGATAGATAGATAGATTGATAAATAGATGATAGATAGATAGATAGATAGATAGATAGATAGATAGATATATAACCTGGTTAGAATTGGCCAGTATTGGGACTGTATAGCTTGTGTCTTCTGCAGTGCATCAACTGCATTCTTGTTAGGTCGTCTTCCCAGCTCAACAAACGAGATTTTTTCAATTTCCTCTCCCAGCAAAGCTCTTAAATATTCAAAATAAGTCTGAAGATTCCTATTTACAAAAATTTTTAAAATCTTAGATTTTTTTCAAATAACTTTTTTATTTTCTTATTTTGAAAATACTTTATCTTCTATGTGTTTTCTATATTTCTCAATACAGGAATCCAGTATACTGGAAAATTAATGTAAAAACTCTAAAAGTTTAAAAGTTCCAAAAATAACCCGTTTGAATGCCTGGAAACATGAATCAAAGTTGTTTCTAACTGACGTCAGTCCTTGCTAAAAATAGTCCTGCTATATGGGTATAAAAAAATATCAAGGATATTTTTAGAAGAAATGAAAACTATAAAGGCAAGATTCTATTTCCGGATTCAGGGGAATATAGTTCTGAAAATATAAATCTGATTCAGGGGAATATAGTTCTGAAAATATAAATCTGATTCAGGGGAATATAGTTCTGAAAATATAAATCTGATTCAAGGGAATATAGTACTGTAAATATAAATCTGATTCAGGGGAATAGTACTGAAAATATAAATCTGATTCAGGGGAATATAGTACTGTAAATATAAATCTGATTCAGGGGAATATAGTACTGTAAATATAAATCTGATTCAGGGGAATAGTACTGAAAATACAAATCTGATTCAAGGGAATAGTACTGAAAATATAAATCTGATTCGGGGGTACAATATTAAAAATATAAATCTCAAGATCTAGGATTCACAGTCACGGAGTATAGTAACATCTAACAAGAATAAAAATCTCTTAAAAATGTTAATATTTTAAAATTTTCAGCATTGAATTATTGTTTTTAAATCCAACTTTTGAAATTCACTAATTTTTCTGGAATTCCATAATCCTAGCTCACATGCTTTGTTTAGGTATCTTTTAACTTTACATGTTAATTTTCGCTTGAAAAAAAAATATATCTAATATTTTAATACATATTGTCTTCTGTCTATTTTATAATGTAACTCTACTGTCTATTGTCTATTTTGTACTGTAACTCTATTTTATACTGTTTATTACTGTAACTCTACCGTAAGTCTACTGTCTACTGTCTACTGTCTACTGTCTACTGTCTACTGTCTACTGTCTACTGTCTACTGTCTACTGTTTACTGTCTACTGTTTACTGTCTACTGTTTTCTGTCTACTGTTTGCTGTCTACTGTTTACTGTTTAATGTCTACTGTTTACTGTTTAATGTCTACTGTCTACTGTCTATTATCTACCTAGTACACTGTTCTACTCCATCAGCCAGTACAGTAGTATGATATCCTCCCTCCAGAACTAGTTGAACCCGACCCCCAGCTAGTGACATCAGGTGATGGGTCAGGAAAGCAAAACAGGCTGTGGACACTTGGTAACCACCTTGACAAACACAATTAATTAATTTATTAAGGAATCAACACTTTTTAAAAATGATTATTTAACAATAGTACAGTTGTTAACCATTAACTTTAAGACTCCGGATAATGTCGTCTTCAACGTAAAATTTCCTCTCGGAGACAGGCCAAACCAAATTATTTCAGCCCGCATATTCTTTGTTCTTTGTCCCACAGAACTTCAACCATTTTCGTTATTGTGAAATCATTAAAGTTAAGCAAGAATATTTTCATAAGAAGCATTAGTGAATTTCGTTAAATATTCAACTGTAATTTTTCAGAAGTTAAAAAAACGTATTTCAATACTGATCAACAATAAGCCACCCCCGACCATCCCTAAATAATTCGTAAGATTTTTTCTACTATTAATATTCATTATAACATTGTACAAGTAACCATGACCTATAATTTATGTTATTTTTTAGGAAATAAAGATTTTGTTATCGAATTTCTGAGACGGGGTTACTCTGTTGTGTGTATTTGTGCGGCCTATCGGGAAAGAATTGTCCGGGGAAAATAAACATCCCCCACCAGAATCCTAACCGGCCTATTATCCCGATTTGTCTAGCGCGTTGCTGTTTTCCGTCAACAACAGTACATCACATTAAAGTAGACTATATAATATAGTACAGAACGGTACAGTGCAGTGAAGCATAACAAAGTAGGTAATAGTACAGTTTAGTACAGTACATTACAATAGAGTACATTAAAATACAGAACATTATACAATACAGTGCATTACAATACAGTACATTACAATACAGTACATTACAATACAGTACATTACAATACAGTACATTACAATACAGTACATTACAATACAGTACAGTACGGTACAGTAAATTACAGTGTAATGTACAATACAGTATAGAACAGTACATTACAGTACAGTATAGTAAATACAGAATAATACATGTTTAGGTATCAGAGTACAGTGCACTTTAGCGCAGTACAGTACCGTACAGTGCATTATAGTATAATAAACTATGGTATTGTAACAATATAGTACAAAATGGTGAATTAATACAAACCTATTGGATGTTCATGGCCTACAGCTGCATCAAATCCAGCAGAAACAAGAACAAAATCAGGCTCATAACATCTGCAACAATTCAATTATTCATAATTTAGGAAGAATAGTTTATTGCTTAAAATAATTGCGGCATTTTGAGTTGTGGTTGCGCATACCTGGCAATAGGCATAACAACGGATCTAAATGCCGCGAGATATTCAGCATCGGCCATTGGAGGCTCTAGTCCTCCGGACCAGGCTATATTCACATTGTGCCCAAGTCCCTAAAATAAATACATATGATTATACAACACTAGTTTAGGTAATTGGATCATGAGTGTATCAAGGAGGGCTAATGTATGGGGGCTAAGCCGAGTCCCCCTGAAAAGTTTTAGGCGCCCTCCTCCCCCCCCCCCCCCC